AATGTGGTGAAATAAATACAAATATATTTGGAAGCCACACAACGAGCGAATAAGATGAGTAGTGAAGATGAGAGGTAGAGTTTTGTAATATTTAATATTATGTACATAATATATATTTAGTGGTCGTTATATATATATATATATATATATATATATATATATATATATATATATATATATATATATATATATATCGACTCCAGTCAGATGACACTTTATGGTAAAATGACATGCTACGGTCAGATGATGCAAAGCTCACCACTGCCAACTATAAAGCTCACCTAGATCAACTGCAAAGCTCACCAGAATGTATGACAAAGCTTACCAATTTTTTCACGCTTAGAATTTTTTTGAAAAAAAATCTAAGAGGTGCTGACTTTGACCCATGTCGACCACTGAATTTGACCGCTGATTGCCGCCGCTGATCACCGGTCAATGATGGTGGAAGTCACCCTTTGATTTTTTTTTCAATTCTTAAACTTCAAAATTTGGGGAGCTTTGTGAGAATGTTTCGGTGAGCTTTGCATTGAAGAAGGGTAAGCTTTTTGGTTAGTGTTTGTAAGGATTTAAACTTTAAAATTTTAAAAATTCAAAATGTGAAAAAATATTGGTGAGCTTTTCCATACAGTTTGGTGAAGTTTGCAAATGTTCTTGGTGAGCTTTGCAGTGATCAGTGGTGAGCTTTGTGTCATCTGACCGTATCATGTCATCTTACCATAAGAGGTTATTTGACTGGAGTCAGTTATATATATATGTGTGTGTGTGTGTGTGTGTGTATAGACACACTATATTTGTTTTTTTTATTTTTGTACATGTAAAAATTAAATCGTTAATACGTGGAGTATAAAATTTCATTTTCATATAATTCATAAGAAATTATTAAAATATAACTCTTTAATGATTCTTACTTTTGATTTTCTCATAATTTTTTTTTGAAAATTTAAAATATTTTTTTTAATTTTTGAATTTTTTTAACTTTTATTTTTTTCATATATTATAAAATATCATTCAAGAAAAATGATTTTAAAAAATAATTTTTCTATAAGTCATGTTCAAAAGCTACTCCCTTTGGCTTTTCGTATTTTGGCATTTCAAATCAAAAAGCTAAGTGAAAAAATCATTAGCCAAACAATAGTTTTGGCGGTTCGATAAATTAAATAAACTAAAGTTAATCAAAGATGCTAAAAGTTATTCAAAAAACTGTTTTCCAAACATAGACTGATGGTAAAAAGCTTGATGTAGGAAGTCAAATGGCACCATAATCTTTGACGTGATTAAAATTCAACACTACACCTTTGTGGATAGAGTTTTTACTAGTGAAGTTACGCGGTCGGTATATATATACACTCTCATTTCCTAAAAATTCACCGGTTTGACATTTTCAGTCATACTGTAGTATTTTTTGACTATGAATTAAATATAATTAAAAGTCATTAAACTTTATAAAAGTTTAATATTTCAAACTATTTTTTAAAATAAACCTAATTTTATCAAACTTACACTATAACTAAATATATTTTTTCTTTAATTTACGATCAAAGAGTGTCATAATTTGACAAAAAATGTCGTAATCTTTTAAACATGAAAAATACAGAAAATTGATGCCGAGTACCCTTGATTTTGTGATAAGAACTCACAGGTCTTATCTTTTTTAAAAATATACTTCGGGTACCTTTAATTATCCGAAAACTAACCCCAGGGTGACATTCCGTCTATTCCCCCGTCAAATTTATTTTCTTCATTATCTTTTCATCACCTTCTTCCTAAAAATTACTATTGGGTACCCTCAATTTTATAAAAATAATTTTCAGATCCCATCATTTTTAAAAATATATTCTGATGTATTCTAAAATATCTAAAAACTTATTCTGAGGGATTTTCATTCTTTTCCTTTTATTATTATTATTATTATCTAAATGTAATAATAATAATAAGGAAATAAAGGAAAATCTCCTAGAGTAAGTTTTTGGATATTTTAGGGTAACTCGGAGTATATTTTTAAAAATGATGAGACCTTAAAGTTGTTTTTACAAAATTGGAGGGCTTCTAACAGTAATTTTTAGAAAGAAGATAATGAAAAAATAACGGAGAAAATGAATTTGAGGAATAGACGGCTCTGACGAAGTAGAGTTGTGAGGGCCGAACATGTAAATGTAAGACTATGGGTTGGCCTTTATTTATTTTTATATTTATCTTTTTTGTCTGCAAACTAAGTGTTTGTTGAATGACAGCAAATTCCACACAGCATTTTGCCTTCCAAGAAACAACCAAGAATCATCAAATAATTCTTAATCCTAATCCCACCCTTTTCTCCACTACTAATCCTTTGACTGTTAGTCTGACCAATCAATCAACACCAAATTTTTCATTAATTCATCATTTTTGAGACCTTATATTACCATCGTGGCCCTGGTTCTTTTTGTTTAATTACGAGAAAATAGCTGTATATTTTACTTAACCAAAATATGCTTTTTATAAAGTAACCAAAATCTTTGATTCTGTAGATTTGGCAAAAAGTTAATCAAAACCAAGCAATAATAAGAACTCAATGTAATCCTATTTTCCTCACTAACTAATTAGGGTCAAAATCTATGTAGTTTTATCCTTGTAAAAACTAGGTTATTGATATACTTTTCCCCTCCAAATTACTTTTCTCACTTACCTTTTCAGAGACCATTTTTTTTAAAGAAATGTGTTTACTTATTTTTATTATTTATTCTTGAAATAACACAAAATCACATCTTATTTTCACAAAGATATTTTCACAAAGAATTAGAAGCAAAAAAGTTAAGGAGTGTTATTATTATTATTATTATTATTTTAATTCCAAGACGCCGAAAAACGAGTAATTTCCAGAAATTATTTAGAATAAAAAATACATAAAGGCTGACACTTGAACTTCCTCTTTCTCTCTTTTTATTTAGTAGTACAGCTTCTGGTTATGCTCATTGAAGTATAGAAGCATATTCCCCCCACCCTTCTATCTCTCTCTCTCTATTTCTCTCCCTCTCATTCTCTATCTTTTCAGATTTGTCCCCAAGTTCTTTCCAGGTCCATTAGACCATAACCCATATTTTTTCTTTGAAATGCGTGCAATTATAAGAGGACCCGGATGAGTTTCTTCATGGTTTGACAGTGGGAGCTGTCCAAAGTTTGAATCTTTTTTTGAGTTTCTTGGTGAAATCCCAAATCTGGGCAGCCATTATTAGTCTCTCTGGACTCTGGATCTTCACAAGAATGGCTCCCAGTTCTGTGGTGGTCACCATTGACAACTCCAACAAGAACATCTCCCTGGTCGAGATCAACGGCTCCAATTCTCCAGCCGCCTTTCGTGACCAGCTCAAAAAGTCGGCAAATCCGAAGACTTTCCTCGTTCTCAGAGCTCACAGAGCTCTCTCTTGCCTCCCATGGCTAGCCATGGCTCTGCGCTCAACTTTTTCTTCTGTCAAGAAACGCATCGCCTTGTCCAGAAGCCGGGGCGGCGGCGGCGAGGGAGAAGATCCCAAACACCGGGGAAAGCTTCACAGGTTTATCAGAGCCTTTCTTGCCGTCTCCGTGGTGGCGTTGGTTCTGGAGATTCTCGCTTATTATAACCGGTGGAATTTCAGTCCCGGAGAGGTTCATAACATCCTGCAGTGGAGTTATTTGTCTTGGATGTCTTTCAGAGCCGATTATATTGCCCCCTCCATTGTTGGGCTTTCCAAGTTCTGTACTGTTCTTTTCCTCATTCAATCCCTGGACCGTTTGACGCTTTGCTTGGGGGGTTTCTGGATTAAGTACAAGAAACTCAAGCCTGCAATTGATGAAGATTCATATGATCCAGAGGATTCCCAGAGCTTCCCCATGGTTCTTGTGCAGATTCCCATGTGCAATGAAAGAGAGGTAGAAATCAAGCATGCTAAACCTTATTTATGCATTATAACACTCTTTTTGCTGGTAAAAATTGAGAATTTGAGAAACCCTTTTGGTCTAAAATGATGGATTTGGGTAAAAAAAATTGATGGAATTTTGTCTGATTTTTATTACTGTTCTAAAATTGTTGACTTTATTGGTAAAATTAAGAAAAAGTGGAGTTGAATCTGATTTGGAAATTCTTTTGTGGGAACTGTGCAAGGTCTTTGCGCAATCTATAGGAGCAGTGTGCAATTTGGATTGGCCCAAGGACCGGTTTCTGGTCCAGATTTTGGATGATTCAGATGATGAGGATTTGCAGCAGATGATCAAGAATGAAGTCTTGTCTTGGAAGGAGAAGGGAGTGAACATAGTGTACAGACATCGGTTGATCAGAACCGGTTACAAAGCCGGAAACCTCAACTCGGCAATGATGTGTGACTATGTCAAAGATTATGAGTTCGTCGCAATCTTTGATGCCGATTTCCAGCCCAACCCAGATTTCCTTAAACTGTCTGTTCCTCATTTTAAGGTGCCAATCTAATTCTTGGACTTCATAAATGCCTTGTTTGGTAACAACGTTTTCAACTAAGTAGTGCCGATTAACTTTGTATTCGAGCTATGTGAGATGACTTAAACAGATTTCTTGGCATTCATTATTCTCTTTCTCAGGGGAATCCAGAAGTAGGATTGGTTCAGGCAAGATGGTCCTTTGTGAACAAGGATGAGAATCTACTCACAAGGCTTCAATACATCAACTTGTGCTTCCATTTTGAGGTGGAGCAGCAAGTGAATGGCCATTTTCTCAACTTCTTCGGGTTCAATGGGACGGCTGGGGTGTGGAGGATCAAGGCCCTAGAGGAGTCAGGAGGATGGCTTGAGAGGACCACTGTGGAGGACATGGACATCGCGGTTAGGGCACATTTGAACGGATGGAAGTTTGTGTTCTTGAACGATGTTAGGGCGTTGTGCGAGCTTCCCGAGTCTTATGAAGCTTACAAGAAGCAACAACACCGTTGGCATTCCGGTCCTATGCAACTCTTCCGGCTATGCCTCCCCGCCATTTTGACTTCCAAGGTAAAACTATCTGGTACCTACAAGTTTGAGCTTTTGGTATGTTGTCAAAACCTTGCTGACCTAGAGGTCGCACGAGGAGCGTGTTAGAGTTTAAAATGTTTTTTTGGACATACTACCACAATTTCAAGCTTTTGGCTGACTTGATTCCTTGACACTATTGGAACCTAATTCAACACCAAAAGTGCTCCCGAGCTAACAATTCCTCCCTATGTCCCTAAAAGAACTTCCCGCTTTCCTTTTTCAGTTCTAATTAAAAAGAACTTTCTTATTCCATTTAGGGGAAGAAAATAGGTGGTTCACATTATTTCTCCCTTTTTTACCATCATACAATTTCATTTTTTTCTTAAAACTCCGTGAAAAAGCAAACGAAAATTTCTTTTTAGGGACGAAGGGAGTATTATGGAGTCTTGTAGCAATCTATGCACCTAACTCTTGTATCATATGTTCTTGCAGATATCAATATGGAAGAAGGGCAATCTAATATTCCTCTTCTTCCTTCTAAGAAAATTGATCCTCCCCTTTTACTCATTTACCCTCTTCTGCATCATACTTCCCCTAACGATGTTCATCCCAGAAGCCGAACTACCGGCATGGGTGATCTGTTACATCCCCATCACCATGTCCATCTTGAACATTCTCCCCTCGCCGAAATCCTTCCCCTTTCTGGTCCCATACCTCCTATTCGAAAACACAATGTCGGTCACGAAATTCAATGCCATGGTCTCTGGGCTCTTTCAGCTAGGCAGTGCGTACGAATGGGTGGTCACCAAGAAGACCGGGCGGTCGTCCGAATCCGACCTGCTGGCTTTTGCAGAGAAAGAGTCCAAGAACCCGTCCGGGGAGAAAATCCAGAGGCGGTTATCCGAATCAGGCCTGGAAATGTATGGGAAACTGAAGGATCTCGACGTCCAAGCGGAGATCGCGAAGAAGAAGAAGAAGAAGAGCAATAGGATTTATAGGAAGGAGTTGACTTTGGCTTTTCTGCTACTCACAGCAGCTGCAAGAAGCCTTTTGTCTGCTCAAGGGATACATTTCTATTACTTGCTGTTTCAAGGTTTGGCTTTTCTTGTGGTGGGATTGGACTTAATTGGAGAACAAGTGAGCTAAAGATAATATGAAACATATAAAGAAAGAAAAAAAACATGGGGTGGCCTCTTTAATTTGGTCCAGCCTTTTTGCATTTTTTTTACTTCTTGGAGTCTACTGTGTTACAGTGAGTTGAACAGCAGATAGTTTTTTACAGGTGAATTTAAAGATGTAACATACTTATATATTCTTTCCTTTTTTTTACTTCTTTATTTTCCATTTGTGTAATTATATGTACTTTTACAATGTTATTATTATTATTCATAATAATAATGAATCATTTATTTCATGTATAGTTCATTTTTTGTTATCTGTTGGGAAAGTTGCAACATTTTGTTATTTTGGTAATTTTTTTTTGAGTTGGATGAATGGTTTGGTTAAATGCAGAAGAGAAACATTCTCTTTTTGATGATGGAATGGTGTATATACACTACACACACAGATTATATATATATATATATATATATATATATATATATATATATATATATATATATTATTGAGATCTATTCATAACAAAATTGATATGTGGAAGTGTTCTTAGCTCACTCTTGAAACACTTGAGATGGAATACTCCTTGCTTGAAGTCAAGCTCTATGTTCCATACACTCTCTCTTAATATTATCATTCATCTTGTTCTTTATAAGTTTATAGAGCTCATTAGTTCCATTAATGGTTTCCAATACTTTTTATAATTGTTTAGATTCAAATTAGAATAATTAAGAGTAAATTCTCAAAATGATCCTTTTCAATGAGGTAATTTTCTAAATTAGTGCTTAATAAATTTTAATTACTTACATAGTACTTTATAATTGAAACTTATTTTCTAAATAAAATTCCGTAAAAGTGTTTTGGCATTTCCATGTCTAAACATAAATTAAATTCTTAAAATGAGTATTTCTATACAATCTTAATAGAAGTATAAAACTAAAACAATAGTTGACTTTACATAATCTATGAATTATAAAAAATCTTTCAAAATATTTTAAAACTTGAATTGAATGCACCTCCTTAGTTAGAAAAGACCATTTTTAAAAAACACTTTATTAGAAAAGATCATTTTGATAAATTATACTAAGTTTAGTTAATAAAATACTAGAATATTCTCTACTCAATCGACATCTAAATGACATTTTTTACAGATGACTATCTAAGGAATAAGTCTCAATTACTACGTATAAAATACTACATAGGTAATTACTCATAATGAGAATTACCTACGTATAACTTAATGAGAATTAATTTTGAAAAATACCTTTTTTAAAAAAATCATTCTAAGAATTTGCTTGAAACTAATTTAGGAGATTGAGGAGGAGTTTTAACGGGATAAAAGCCGTTTAGAACACAAACATAGTCTTACCTGCTGGGCTAACAGGATAAAAGCCCATATTTTGGGCTTGGCTTCGAACGGAAGTTCGGGCTCAAGGCCCAAACAGCGCATTTGCTCCTAACCGCAATTCCGCAAATGTCGCTTTGTTGGCGGAGGAGGCCGCAGTCATCCTTGTCGCATTTCGCAGCGGAAAGACTTTTTCTTTAAACGCCGCTCGCCGCCGACGACTTCAGGTTCACATTTTTCCCTATGCTCAAGCCGCCGAAGTCTTTGCGCTACGGCACATCGACGCACTCCAGAAATTAGGGCTTTTTAGAATTATTCAGATCGGAATTCGATCAAAGCTCTGGACTTTGCGCCAGATTAGTACTAATTCTCTTCATTCCCATGAATTTCTTAAACAGTGCTTGAAGTTCGCGCTATAATTCTATTGTTTTTCGCTCCTGTAATCTGTGAAGTTGGAGGGTGATGTCGTTGTGGCAGAAGCAGCAACCCGTGGGAGATGAAAAGGACGCATTTTATGTTGTTCGTAAGGGAAATGTAATTGGAGTCTACAAAAGCTTAAGTGATCTGCAAGCCCTAATTCGGTCTTCCGTAAGCTTTCTGCTTCTCGTTTGATGTTTAACTTTGTGATGTTTCTGAACTTTTGTCCCAGCAAAGATTATGTCTGATATGAGCAAAGGAGCTAATTTTCATCGTGTGTAATATTTTTTTACAGTAATATATAAAACTGGTGGGAAAAATTTGGGTGTGTTAATTTTGCTAAATCAACAAATAAGTTTAAAAACATAATCCGTTGCTATTTTTGATTATGTACTATAGTTGTAGCTTACTAAAATAAGAAGGGGGTACTGTATAGTCTGCATTAATATTTCTTGATGAAGTTTGAGGTGGTGTGTTTCTAAACTTTCAGGTTGGAGATCCTTCTTTAAGTGTGTTTAAAGGGTATTTCCTGCGCAAAGAATCTGAAGAATACATTGCTTCTCGGGGGCTGAAGACTGCAATGTACTCTGTCGATGTTAAAGCTGTTCGAAATGATCTCTTTGGTTTACTTGTACCCTGCCCTTTCCGGGTTTGACACTTAATCCATGATTCATAATGTGCCACTTGGAGTTATTTTTCCATTCCGATGACACAATGGTGTTTTTGCCTATTATTATCAAAAGCTATTAAGCAAAAAATAGAAAATAAAATGGACCGTTCTGTTAATGAAAAATAAATGAATAGCATTCGTTTCAATGTTTTATTTTGTGTTGTAGAAGATCAATGTGTAATCTTATAGTTTGCAACTTTCAACACTAACTTCAGAGTGATTATGCTTTAAGATCAGTCTTCATATGCCAAATGACTAAATGATAAAAAGAATGGCATGCTTTATTTGACATGTTTGGAATTTCCTATCAATTGATTAAAAATGGATTCTCACTGCAGCAACCAGGTTCTTCCAAAGATAAACCCCTCGGCAAGGAACTTCCGGAGAAAAGGACGTTGGTAATATGTAATATGTGATACCTCCTCTGCCCCACTGGGAAATTCTAACTTGTAATGCAATTTTCACTACAATTTAGAAATTTTCAGCCGAACGGAGGAAGTGCTATTATTGTTTGATATTGAATGATGTTATTAGCCCATATTTAGTGTTTATAGCCTTACAGCATATTTATAGGAACTGAGGAATTGATATGATTTTGTATTCAACCAGTGTCTTTCCATTATCAGTCATTCATTTCAATGCCCAATATCAATATGAGTAACCATATAACCTTGAAAAAATAATGGAGCCCCAACCAGTTCTACATATAGTAAAAGTGTTTTATAGTCAAATTTGGAACTTTCTGGTTCATTCTGTTATTCTCTCAATTCATCTATGTAAAATTTGCACTAAATAGGACTAAAACATAGGTCATTTCCCAATGTAGGACTTAAACTTTTTTATTCCCTAAATTGGACTTAATAATGTCTAATGGGAAGAATAATGTCCAATAATTATGGTCATTTATTTAAATAATGACTAATGGATAATGACCAATGGTCCTACATTGGGAAATAAAAACATATAGTCCATTCCTGAGAAAGTCATTATGTTTTAGTCCTATTTAGGTAAATTACTCTTCATCTATTGACTGTGCAGAAACAACTGTGCGTTCTTTTGGATAGGAAACATTTAATTTCTTCTTGAAGTTGTATTTTGATTAAAGGAAGGTGACTCAAATGATTATACACACACACACACACACACACATATATACACACACACACACACACACATACATACATATGTGTGTGTGTGTATATATATATACGGAGTATATATTTGTGTGTGTGTGTAGCTCCTAGACCCATAATCTCAACCTCTTAAGCGCAGTGGTGGGGCTGGATGTGGAGAAGCATGGGGTGCCACTATGCCGACATGCTTCCACGATTATATATATTTTATTTCGCTATGATAATAATTTTTAGGATATCTTTTGCATTTGACTCAGTTGTCCTGCTTCGTTTTGAGGAAGTTGATTTAATCTGTCATTTTTCTTGATCATCAGGAAATGACTGGATCTGCTTTGTATTCAGCTGCTGCTGCTCCACCAAGACAAGGGAAATTAGATAATTTCCTTGAAGTCCCTCCAATCTCTTCTTACTGCGTAAGTTTCTTTCTGGAAGTTCTTATGCTTCATTTTCCTCTCCACTTCAAGTGAGGTTCCATGAAGGAAAGTATAGAATTTGAAAAAAAATAATCTTTTAAGCCTCTTCTTCTGTCACCCGTATACAGTAAGTCATTGTGTTAGGAAAGCATTAGTGTGAATGGCCTGGTCTTAAAATGTCAGATGTATTAAAATATATACCAGACCCCTTTTAACATTTTTGGCAAATAAAATGGGATGCCATATATCCTTGAGCTCAATATATACTTTGTATTAGAACTTCATCTGGGGCCCTGTTGGTTTTTCTCTTACTTTTCCACTTATTCATAAACTTTCACATGGAGAAAATGTTTCATTGGTGTTGAGTGTTGGCCAAAAACTTTTACTGTTTGTTTAGTAAGGCTCAAAATAACTGAAGTGAAGAAGTCACTGTACCTAAATTTGTGGTTGAAATTACTTATTTGGTTGAACCTCTTGACTTATCTAAAATAAATATTTCAAAGCATACATTTCAAAATAGAGAGAAATATATGAAAAAAATAAAACTAAGAGTATCACTTTCATCCATTTCAGCAGAAAAGTATCTGACATTTTGAGCCAATTAAGCTGCTGCAGTAACAATAGTTTAAACAACAATGACAAACCTCGGATAATCCCAACTCTATTGGGGTCTGGGTGGTCAAGATGTACACAATTTTATCCACGTAAAAAAACAAAGAGGCTGTTTTCGTCAGACTCTAGATGTATTGATGCTAAAGAATTGGCTAAAAAGGATGATAAGCCAAAATTAATGCTTACCAAGCTCACTCTTTTGTGATATTTTTATTATTTCACATTTCATTATTTTCAGAGCTCCTGTATTCTCGAGTTTGATGGTGCCTCAAAGGGAAATCCCGGACTCGCTGGTGCTGGAGCAGTGTTGCGTGCAGCAGATGGAAGTGTGGTAGTTTTGTTTTTTTATTTTTTTCCTGAACAATTTATCATATTCATCACTTATTCTTACAGCTTCAACCATCTTATATTCTTGATTTTAGGTTTTCCGGCTACGTGAAGGCCTGGGCATTGCAACCAACAATGTTGCAGAATACAGAAGCTTGATATTGGGATTGAAGTATGCGCATGAGAAAGGATTCAAACACATACAAGCCCAAGGAGATTCCAAGCTTGTCTGCATGCAGGTCTTCCCTCTCTTTTGCATTTCATGCAGTCTTAACAACATCATGCATGATTAGTATTTGAGATCTCTTTTTTCCACTTTTGGGACCAAACAATATAGGTAATGAAAATAGGAAGGTGGATAGACTATAGAGTAGAGGAAAATTTGAATTAGATAAAATATGGAGGAAATAAAAGGTAGGCAAAGTCTAAAACTCAATAAATATATTCTAGATATTGGTTGTATTCATTTTATTCATTAATGTCTTCTATTATATACAGTAACAAATCTGAATATATGGAGATTTTTCAAAAGATAAAGTTTATCGTTTCTCATTTTCCTTCGGATTTTCCAATGTTAAATCAAGCATATGAAAATATTTTTTGTTAGCTTTTCCCCCCCTACACCGAGCATTTTCTGGGATATAATGGTCCTTGATATTTTCATGTTGGAACAGACTCAGGGACTCTGGAGAACTAAGAACCAGAACATGGCTGAGCTGTCGAAGGTGGTCAGGGAACTAAAGGAGCAATTCACCTCGTTCCACATCAGCCATGTCGATAGAGTGCGTACAAGTTTTATCCCATGTTTTCATTTTTTTCCCCTTTTGCTAGGAGTTTACTCACTATCGTCTTAAAACTTGAGTTTGATGACGGAAGGGAAAATCTCACTTTTTATCCCTCAATTGTTTGACATTATGTCATATGAGACGCATCAAGTATTAGGGGCTTATGAGGACATTATCGACTTTAAAAATAAACAGTAATTGTAACGGGACACACTAGTTATATCTCAAATATAACTAAATTGAAAGGATAATGTCAAATAATCGATGGGGACTTGAACTCTTGAAGCAAAAGCATGATGTTTTCTCTTTTAATAGAATCTGTAGTAAACTGTGGTTTTGTTTACATTTCAGGAATACAACACCGAAGCTGATGCTCAGGCGAATCTAGCCGTGTATCTAGAACGTATACTTTCTTTTTTGCCAATAAGCCTCCCTTTAGATTTGTTTTTTCATCCCTTTTTCGAATCACAAGATTATTGTTCTAAAAACACGATGCGCGTGCAGATGGTCGGGTGGAAGTCGAATGAGGAGGCGTGGAGCCCGCCGAAAACCAAATCACTTGACAACGTCGTGATTATGGGTTTTGGGGAGGATGTGTGAATCCTGCAGACTAACAATGTGTGTATGTAGTAGAAGAAGATATGCAGCAAATTGTTGGGCTATTATTTATGTAGATTCACTTGACATTGCCCTTTCTCTGGCCAAAAAATATATGGAGCAAGTCACTTGTTCCATGAACTTTTAGGTGCTTTCAAATAACTTATTCAAATAGCTGGCAAAAAGGTCATGGGTGTTATCTGGCAAAATCTGATTCTCATGTGAGCAAATATTTGAATTGAAAGGTCTTTATACTTTTTTTAAAAAAAAATTACTCTGGAAGTTTGAATTTAGTAATTAGTGGGAACATTTTTAAAATATTACATGAAATACCCAATGTTGGTCACCTGATAGTGTTTTTTTTACTGTTATAACCATGGTTAACTCTAAAGTCAATAGCCTTGTAGGAATGGAGCTCAAACAAGACAGTATATACACCTGTCCAAAAAAAATTATTGACTTTCTTGAAATTTAAGAAAAGTATTGAAAATGAAGATTGGAATTTCTTTAAATTAGAGAAGAATCTTGTCAATCACTTGTTCATTATTAATAAAACATCTAAGTGTTAAGTACTCCCTCAGGAAAAGAAAAAATAGAATTGATACTTACTCCCTCCATTCCATTTTAAATTACTTGTTTTGACTTTTGGACATATTTAAGGAAAAGAAAAAATAGAATTGATTTTTCAAAATTGTTATTACTTTTTAGAAATTTTTCAAAATTGTGATATCTTTTTAGAATGGGTGACTATGAATTAGAAGATAATGTAAAGAAAGATGACTTGTTTTAGAAATAGTTTAGGTATTTTATTTTTAAAAGTTTACGATAATTATTAACGGTAATTTATTTTGGAACGGAGAAAAAAAGCAAACAGACAATTTAAATTGGGATAGAGTAAGTATCTTACAAGAGCAAAAAGTGTAAATTTTTTGGAAAAATATTCTAACAATGTATTTTTGAGGAAAGTACATATCCCAATTGCATATTCAACAAAAAGTGTTTATGCTCTGTTCTTTAGCATCTGTTCTAATCATAGTTCATCAAGTTTCCAGCAAATGAACACTGATGACATTAATCTATGAAAGTGGCAAAAAAAGACTGGTAAAAAACTTGCAGGTTTTCAATCCAAAAGAGAAAAAAGAACTCATCAGAAACAATCTTCTTCTTTGGAATCTTTATTTACAGTTCTAAATCCGAAGATGGAAAAAACCCGGATGATAATTACAATCCATATTCAAGAACAGATCAAAAAAACTATAATCAACGGGAGTACCGTGTTTTGATCTCTTCATCGTCTTCGTCGCCATTAGAGTTCAGCAATTCTTCCCAGTCCACTTCTTCTTCTTCATCCTTCTTTCTCAGAACCTCCAATACCCTCTTTGCCTTTGACCCGACCCGTTCGCTTCCGGTTTCTTCCGCCCTCACCAACACTTCCTCTGCTCCTGCTTCCTTTGCCAAACCCTTAAACCTCAACCCGCCATGGCTGAGCCCGTACAGTGCAGAAACGCAGCTCTCTCGGATGGAGTCTGGTTCGGACTCGCCCTGTTTTAGAATGCCGACGAAGCAGTCCACTGCGCCGCCGTCCAGCAGCGCCGCCCGCCCTTCCGGGCTGCCGGCTAGGTTACACAGAATCAGGAGGATCCGGCCGGTCATGTGACCCGATTTCACCATACCGATTAGGGACGGAACCGACCCGAGTTTCACGAGTTTGGCCCGGTTGCTTTGCACTGTGGAGAGATGGTAGAGGGCCAGAACGGCGTCGTGTCGGGTCCGTTCCGATTCGGATCGGAGGGAGTGGAGGAGCGGAGGGAGAGCTCCGAGGACGCCGATTGCCGTCTTGTTGTGGTCCTCTAGGGCTAAGCTGAAGAGCGCGCCGGCGGCGTGGTCCTGCGATTCAGGGGAACCGCCCTTCAGGGCGTCGACCAGCGGCGGGACGATCCCGGAGCGGACGATTCTGACCTTGTTTTGGCTGTCCAAGGAGAGGTTCACCAGCGCCGCCACAGCGTTGACCTGGACGGCCGCGCATCTGGAGGTGATGTGTGGCCGGAGAGCGGCGAGTAATCTTGGGGTGCCGAGCTGGATCCGCTTTTCCTCCCGGGTTCGGGTCAGATCCCGGAGCAGTATCACCGCATCTTCTTGTTCGGAAACAATGGGGCTCCTCAGCTTCGCTACAATCTCGTCTTCTTCCAGAGAATTGGCGTGGAGGGCTTCCAACTCCGGGGAAGACGAGTAACACGCCGTCCGTGAGGCCGCCGCCGCAGCAGATTCCTCGGAACTCGTGGTGGACAGCAGACTGGGCGTCCGGTCACACACAGACTGCGATTCGCTGAACGTCTTCGAAACCAGGCAAGGACGAGAGATGGCGCTCTGAGCGGCCATGAGAGCACGGACGAGCTTCTGGGCCGAGAGAAAATCGACGGGGCTGGGAGAATCGACGAGAGAAGAGCGGCACCAGTTGAGAATGGCGGTCCTGAGGGCCAAATTGGGGATAACGGCGGAGAAATCGGGGGCGGACCCATCGCGGAGAGTGGGGGAGAAGGAGAGAGACTTGCAGGCGAGAGCGCAGTTTCGCTCGAAGGTGTGGCCGGAGGCGACGACGACAGGGTCGGCCATGAGAGAGCGGGAGATGGGGCAGGTGAACTCGTCGGGGACGGCGACGAGAAGATGCTGCTTTCTGAGAAAGGAGAGCTTCCATCTGGTCTTGCCACTGCCCATTTTTCTGTCGAATGGGAGAAAGAAGACGAAGAAGAAGATGATGATGACGAGTTCGTCAATGGAAGACAAGAATGGAATGATGGGTTGGATGATGAAAACGCGGGGGGCGGAGATTTATGGGTTTAGGAAATTGGGAATGAATCAAATTAGAATGAGATTAGTGTTAGCATTTTGAAAATACTATTATAACATTTTTAGAATTAGGCTTTGTTTGAGAAGAGCGTTTTCAATTAGTTTTAGCATTTTGGATACAATATTAACGGTGTAGATTAATTCAGAAAACGCTAACGATAAAAGCTACCGTCGGATATCTTTTTCAAAACGCTAACGCTAATCTCTAACGCTGATGCCAAACATAGCCTTAATCTGCATCAGTTAAATTGTATTTCAAACGCTAATGTTAAACAAAAAGCCAATTTCCAAACAAGGACTTATAGAAAATGAGAATACATCCAATTCCAAGAGGTGTTAGTTACTAAACTATGCTCTTTTGAAATCATTAACAACAACCCTAATAAAAAGGGATAAGCTTTAATTTCCATTTCTAATAGTTACTTCCTCCATTAACATTTACCTTAAATTTATCTTAACATTCATCCACCAATTCACCACTCACCCTAAATCACTAGGTACACAATGTTAGATCAGCATTGACTGTATTTTCTTTAATTTACTCTCTCCATCCCAGTATATATGTCTAGTTTGACTTTTTTGAGTTAAACTGGACAAATTTTGAGCTTCAATTAAATAAAAACCGTAATACTCCCTCCGTCCACAAATAAAGTTCCCATTGCGCGTTACGATGTTTGACTGAAATTATTTTCAAATCATTATATATGAAAAATGGTATGGAATTAAAAAATAAAAATTACATATTTAAAAACTACATGAAAAGATCTACAAAACTAGAGGTGACATGACTATATTATTTTATCAAATAAAACACAAAAATAGGCTAACAAAGTGAATAAAGTTTGACCCTGTGAATAGTGAACGAGAACTTTATTTTTGGACGGAGGGAGTATATTTTAACATAAAAATTACTTTATTGAATTTATCGTATTAAGAATTTTCAACATTGTATTTTATTATGCTAATATGTAATATAAATTGAAAGTAATTAGAGTTCAAAGTTTATCCAATTTGATTTGAAAAAGTCAAACTAAACAAATATACCCGGGACGGAGGGAGTATTTGATAGATGTAGGACACCTCGATTGTAATGATCATATATTTTATAAATTTACTATGTAATACTCTCTCCGTCCCAATTTGTAGTGTCTGTTTCGTTTTATGATGTTTGACCGAAATTATTTTTAAATTATTTTATATGAAAAATGGTATATCGTTAAAACTAGTAGTGACAATAGTATTTTATTTTATCAAATTGTTAACTAAAATAGAGAAAGAAAGTGAATGAAGTTTGACCCTGTAAATAGTAAGCATGCATTATAATTTGGGACGGAGGGAGCACTACTTTCATCCCTCATAAGGTATTTCATTGCGTGTTACGAGACTTGATCAACTTTGTTTTCATTTTAATTTATTTTATAATAGGTCTAAAATCTAAAAATAGAAATTATACAATAAAAATTTAAGTGAAAACTTCTACAAAATAAAGGGGTGACAAAATTATAAAGAGTGCTTTTTTATAAAATGAGTAATAGAAATAAGCAAACAAATAAGTTTATGTCTGAACATGTGAATAATGTCTAGAAATATCCATAAGAGATGAAAGAAGTATTTATCTATTTCTAATCAAAGTAAACTCCATCTTTTATACTTGCTCTTTAAAATCTTTGTCATATTATGCAAAACGAAGTGAATTTACAAGTTACCTCAATTTATTTTTTTTAAAGATTGCTGTTGAGATAAGATAAAATATACATATTTAAAAATTACGTAAAAAAATTTTCAAAATAAAAAATGACAAGAATATTTTATTTTATTAAACAATCAATGAAAACATAAAAAAAATTAGTGAGTTATGAATAGTGAACTGCGATTTTTTTTGGAATGGAGGGAGTAATAAAAAAATTCCTTCTTTTTATACTTCGCAAATTTTTAAAATGGTCTCTTTTAAATATGCCTATTTTCTTTTTCCATTTAAACCTTTTTTTAGTTTCTTAGTTTTTTCATTTTACATTTTTTTGTCTTTTTGTATCATAACAATAAAATAAATAAGATAAACTATACTCCATACTAATTTAAAAAGTACATGATAGCATTACATAAAAAACAGTACAAAATTATTATTTTGTTTCATACTCCCTCCGTCCTATAATGATCTTCCCAGAGCACTATTTCAACTTCACGGGAATTTATATTTATTAATTTTTTTTTCATGGCCTATATGATAAAATAAAATATTCTTGTCACCACTTGTTTTGTTGAACTTTTGGTGTAATTTTTTAAATATGTATGTTTTATTTTTTATTTCTATACCAATATTTAAATAAAATAGATTGAAAAAACTTGGGATTTTTCTTCGTTTTGCGAACCGTGAAGATCATTATAGAACGGAGGGAGTATTTGTCTATTTCTGATTAAATCAAAATCTTTAATTAATATAAATTATTTATTTTTTTATGTTTGTTATGTGATTTTTTTCGTCCAAACCTCGTTTTAAAATTTTTTTCTGTTTTTTTTCAACCATTTTTTGTTTACTTTTTTTAAAATATAAATGTCACTTCATATGACACATTTTATTATTTTATAGCATAAAAAAACAAAAAAAAATTAACTTAATTTAAATAGGTAAAATCATGATAACACAATTTATAATCAAAACTCATTTCATTCTTTAAAAATAACAATAAGAGTATAATATAATTTGTTCAATTCAAAGTGTTTTCTTTTAGGTTTTTTGTTTATCAGTTTGTCTACTTTTTGACATTTGACTTAAGGAGTTCCATTTCGAAAACTTAAGTAGTTTTATTTTTTTCCAAAAAGGTAAACATAAAAGAGGAAAATTGTTGAACATTTTCTAGTTTTCCTTCAAATTCAGGTCAAATACATATGAAGCGTCGCATTTGGGATTAAAATTACGTGGTTCAATTTCCAGTGAAGATGATAATCCTTTGTAAAATTTGCACTAAATAGAACTAAAACATAATAACTTTTTCAATGTAAGACTTAAACTTTTTTATTCCCTGAATAGGACTTAATAATGACCTCGTGGAGGAATAATGTCCAGTAATGATAGACATTTAGTTGAATAATGACTACTTAATAATGACCAAAAGTCCTACATTGGGAAATAAAAACATATGGTCCTATATTGGAAAAGTCATTATGTTTTAGTCCTATTTAGGTAAATTTCTCTAATTCTTTAAACTTCAATAGATCAAGAAAATATATATGAAGATTTACTATAATTATAATAAAGTTAACAATGCTAAAAAACTATTTATGCTTAATGTAAAAAAAACTGGATTGCTAAAAAACTATTTATGCGTATGCTTAATATATATGAAATTTGTGCTTAATGTAAAAAAAACTGGATTGCTAAATCATTACCTTTTACGTTTTTGTTTAGTGTTCGGGCAAGGTTCCCATGGCATTGTCCGGCAATGTCATGGGATGATCCGGGAGCGCTCCGGTGCCCCGTTCGTAAAATTAACGATTTCTACCCCCTAACTCCCAAGTAAACTCCCCACCCCGCCCTGACTTGAATACATCCTCACCCCCTTCAATTGCACCATACAAGTTTATTTTAACTTTAGAGTAAAGAGAATGATGTTTAAGGTTCACTAAAACATGATGTTTGAAAGTAAGGCCGTACAGTCTGGGGGATGGATGAAGCTGTGATAGCTGAATTGTCGGTCACAACACAGCTCCCTCTCTTGTAAACGGTTTGGTATCAGGACGAAATGAACCCTAAAATCATTCGTTATCATTTTGTTATGAAACGGAACGACACAATACCAGACACATGCTCAAACTCTGACAAAAATTTAAGCATACATTACTCAAATAATATTAAAATACAAGCATAATTTTGTATAAAAAACACCACTTTATTGAAAAAAGTATTGATTTTGAATTTAAAAGGATCATAAAAAAAGAATAAAAGATAATGAGTCTAAATTTTAAAAATAGATTTTTTTTTCAATTCATAGAATATCAGATTAATTAATAATATTAACTCCAAAAAACAAGAACTTCTCTCTTGACTTGTGATGGGTATATCCTTATACCCGACCCAGATAACCAGAAGGAACAGGTCAATATATGACCGATCACTTTTATCAATTACCGAATGAGGTTAACTCTTCGATTGGGACGAGTCAAAAAGTTGACCGGTCACTTCTTCTAAAAAAGTGACCGGTCACATTTTGGGCAATAGCCAAAATGTCGCCTAATGTTACAAAGGACATTCTAGAAGACCAGAGACGGGTTGAGCGCAAAGAATGACCGGGTAACCTTTGAGACAAGGTGACCGGTCATGTCACTTTACTTTGCAAACATTGGTCCAGTATCTTAGGCATGGTGAACCACGTCAAAGATCGAGGGACCACCTCGTCGTTCGTCCATCACGAGGCAAACAGTGAAAAGAATGTTTGTCATTTTGCAGGGCTGATTGGATTGAGAATATCCATTTATAGTCTTTGATTGAACAGTACATGTCTTGGCTTATAGTTGCTAAATTCATTGATTGAATAGTAGATTGATTGTGTACAGTGACCTTCCTCCGGGTTTCCTATTTTGTCCATGGATGAACAGAGGAAGGTCACAAATCCTCCTCTATAAATATGATGATACTGGATAGAGAAGGGGATCCAATTTTTCTCTCACTAAAGTTTACTCTTGAGATAGAGTAAGAAATATAATTCGGACTGAGGAGATTTACCCGGTCTAGGTCATACTTTGTGTTCTTGTTGTGTGTTTTATATTACGGGTCGAGTGTGTCCAGGTCAAACCCGGTTAACCCACCCAGCTATATTTACACCATCAACTTGAGTGCTAGAAAGTTCATTCTCTAGGATTCATGGAGAACTAGCTTCACCCCAGGTTCGAGCACCAACAGAGGCGGAGGCATTGTATCTTTATGCGTCATTAGATAGAAAATAGTATGAACGGATACTACATTGTAATAGAGTCAGTAACACAAAAAACTCCAAAAAGAATGATCATAATAGTACTCCCTCCGTCTCAAAAAGTCAGTCCCGTTTCGATAAAATTTGTGTCCCTTAAAGTCTGTCTCATTTCTATTAAAAACCCATTTTTACCTCTTACTTTTTCATACTCTACCTATCACATATTACCTTTTTTCTAATAATCTACTCATCACATCCTACTTTACTCATCACATCAAGGATATTTTTGGAAAGTCAACACAAAATTATCTATTCTTATCTTACCACTTTAGTCAAAATGTCCCAATATTTTTGGGACGAAGGGAGTAATAATTAAGAACAGTAATAATGAAAGAATATTAAAAAAAGAATAATACAATACGAAGTATTTCATATATACGGTAAGATTAGGTAGACAATTAAGTATTTGAGATATTCGTATATAACTTTGAAAGATTTGGTTCGTGATAATCAGTTTTAAATATTTGTATCACGGTCCCGTCTTGTTGGCGACAGAAGAAGGAATCCAGATCAAAGAAGGAAACTGAGTCCCTTTGGGATTCGGTTTAGTATCTTTCCTAGTTTGCTCAGTTCTTGTTATAGTAAGAATAGAATTATGGTAGGAATAAAAGTTTATTTAAATGCTTTACTCTCTTCCTATATAAAGGGAGTTAGACCTTTGTAAGCATAAGAACAATTCAATATACAAACTATTTTTCTCTTATTAATTTTCTACATGGTATCGGTGCCAGTTTTGAATTCTTGAGACCTCAAACACGCTTCTTCCCCTGCCGGTGGGCATACATAATTCAATGCCTACCAGCAGGATATTGTAATTTTTGATTTTCTTTGATTGTTCTCCCTCACTAAAGAATATCATGAACTCCTTTGACGAAAAACATTGATGTCGAGGAATCCCGTCCAACCATCAATCTTGAAGAAGTTGTCCAGAAGGGTTGTTCTACAAAGACAGACAACTCTTTCTTTAGCAGGCAATAAAAAAAAAGTCGGCGTTCAGGGTGTTCAAAAAGAATGGCGTTCCCCCTGTTTGTTCCAATGCGGTGAAGGTTCGAAAAGAATGGCGTTCCTTTACTCGACTAATTATTCGGCGGATTCGAAAAGCTTGACGTCTCCGTTGAAGAAAAAAAACTGAAGTGTCTAGATGACACTTAGACAACGATGACAACGGCTTCCTCAAGCTTTGTTGCTTTGTTCAATCTTTTGATGTCCAAGCTGGGCATGTTGAACTCCCATGCTCCAGCTTGAGGGGGGGTGTTGGCGACAGAAGAAGGAAGCCGGATCAAAGAAGGAAACTGAGTCCCTTTGGGATTCGGTTTAGTATCTTTCCTAGTTTGCTCAGTTCTTGTTATAGTAAGAATAGAATTATGGTAGGAATAAAAGTTTATTTAAATGCTTTACTCTCTTCCTATATAAAGGGAGTTAGACCTTTGTAAGCATAAGAACAATTCAATATACAAACTATTTTTTCTCTTATTAATTTTCTACACGTCTCATTTGATATCAATTTAGTTTCGGTCCAGGAAAGAAAAATTTAATACCATTTAAAAACAATATAACAGTTCAGTACCATTAGGGTCTGTGTAATAGCATGCTAGATTGCTAGTTCGGTTTTTTTCTAAAGCACGAACGACACGAGTATCATCATTTCTTTCCAGACTTATTTGCTAAGCTTTCTCTTTTTCTCAATTAGGGAGCATTAGAATTTCTACAAAGGAGTATAAATTGTTGTTGCTTTCCACATGAAATTGTGGAGTCCATACCTTACATATATAGGCTTTTTAGCCTCCCTTTCTAGAGTAAGTGAGTGATTTTTCCTCATTCTTTTAGTTTGTTGTGAAACTAGCCAATCAATAATCAAATTTGTTAGGAACGTATCTTAAATATTTTAGCTTGAGAAATATAATGAAGAAAATTAACATAACACGTATTCCGTATTAAACTTCATTTATTCTCTCTATCTTAATATAAATTGCATACTTAGTATTCACATGGTCAAATTTTAAATATCTTTTTTTACTGTGTGAGATGTGGTTTTATCCTTTCTCCATTTACTAAATGTAGGTAACCCCTAAGGTAGAATTAAAATTATCCTTTACTATATTATTAGTAGCAAGAATCAAATAAAGTGGAGAGGAATAAACTTGTGCATATATGCTTTTGAAGAAAAAGACTTTTAGAAAAGTGGGTTAGCATTCATTACCACTCTCTTTATAAATTGGCAACCTCAACTTTTTGTTTTGCCATTTGACAAAGAAATATTTGCAAGTGGGGAAAAAAACAATGAATAAAGGAGTGAGCCGCAACTTTTAGCAGGTAGAATTTCAGGCAAAGGCAAAAATCAAATACTCAAGCAGGTGTCCCGTCCTACGTTGTTGGTGGCTCAAACGGCCATGTTTTTAGGCTTTTCTATTTTAGGTTACATCATTTAATTAGTGATGGGCTGGCCATGGTCGGGGCGGGGTGAGGGGAGTCCACGTTACAGAGGATAGGATTAATGAACGAGGCACTATAGCAGTCCTGACCAATCCCATGACATGGGATTCCAATGTTATGAAAAGCGCTTTCATTTTATTTTTCATGAGGGTGTAATCTTAGACCAATTGAATGAGTGTAAGATTGTTACACCATTTTAATTCGAGCACCTACAATGCTCTGATTGGTTATTCATACATTTTAGCTTCCCCAATAAATCTCTCATACCCAGCCCAACCTTAACGCATCCTCACACCCTTTCCAATTGTACTATCCAAATTTTTGTTGACTTCATGGTCAACTATTTGACTCAAATTTTGATCGGTGCAAGGTGCAATTGGAAGGGTGCATGATGCGTTAGGGACAGATCGGGTATGAAGGATTTACCAAAAAGTTGAAGGGTAGGAACAACCTATTTTACAATTAGAGTACACTGTAACAATCTTGCACCAATTATTGGTGTAAGATTACCATCCTCATTTCTGATACATGTAAATTTTCCCACTTGGCTTGGCTTAATGTTAAGCCTTTAGAATCACATCCAAGAGTTTTAGAAGAGGAAAATCTGAAATTTGATTCGTCGGGTTTCTAATTGATTTGTTATTTTGGCCATTACTTAGCATCATGATCCTTAGTTCTGAGATCCACATTGTTGTTAGAAATGAGACATCTGCAATTAATCTAACCAAAAAGATTATACTAGGAGGCGAGATGTTCATTGATGAAAAACCCTCTCATTTTACCTCCACGATGACTCAAACTCTATATCTCAAAAAAGAGAATCTTAAAATAACCTGATGAACATGAACCACTCCAATAGTTCATGTCACTCTGGAGGTAAAATGTAAGACTTTACATTGAACTTCACATCTCACCTCATTTTTCTCAATTTCAAACAAATATTTATAACACTCTCATATTCCAACATTTCTCTTACATTATGTTTGGTTCAAGGAATTAAGAAGGAAAAGAAAAGAAAATGATTTTCCTTTTTTTTCTCACCAAAATGAAAAGAATCATGTTTTCCTCCTTCTTAACTTATTTTAGCTTATCATTTTCTTTTGCTTCTAGTTTTCTTTTCCATCTTTTCCTCCCTAACCAAACATGAAAAATGATTTTCTATATTATTTTCTTTTCTTTTCCCTCTCAAATTCCTTAAACTAAACATAATGTTAAAGTCGCCTTAAAAAAACAGTGTTAAAGTTTGTAATATCAATAGAGGAGCATATTTGAATTCCTTTCCTGACTTGAGTGGTAGGAAACTCACAAGATCTAATGGACCTTGACGACGCACCTTTCAATTTCTCACAACAAAATTGGAGTTAAAACAAAAACCATCTCAATTTCTCAACAATATAAACAACTTGTTACATATTCAAATGATAACATATTTATCCATATGAACACGAAAATCAATAACAGATTATTATTATTATTGTTATCAAGCCAAGAGAATCATAAAGAAGTTGCTGCCACTGAGCTCAAACCATGGCTAAGCAAAAATGGAGACACAAAGGGAAGGGTCTTAGGCTTAGGCTTTGTTCATTTTCATAAGAGAGCACTATAAGACAATGGGGGGGAAAAGAATTATGGATAGGGGGGAATGATCAAGATGAGGGCCTATAGTACTTGGTCGGGACGAAGGGCATTTTAGTAACTACACCATCATAGGACTTCCCGCGAACCAAAATCTTCACATTGGTGCCCGCTTTGTGCAAACCGGATTTCACATATACCCCATCGCCGCTGGTGATTTCCCCAACGTTTTCCAGCCCTTTCTCTTCTTGGATCTCACTGTGGGTTCTTGCTGGTGGGCCGGAGGACACGATGCCCAACCACTCTTCTGATTTTTGGGCCTTCTTCAACTTGTTTCAGGATCACCTCAGCCCCGAGGAAGCCTCCTTCGGCCCGTCGTCTCTTTCCTATGGCCCACGTAAGCCCGGCCTCAACGGGCGTTATGTGTTCGTTCATGTCATTGCCGTATAAGCAGAGGCCGGCTTCAAGCCCTGAGGCTGTCTCGGGCACCCACCCCTGTTAGCCTCACCTTCCCTTCGGATCTTTCTAGAATGGCTTTCGCAAGGTCGACTGCATGTTCCGAAGGTACGGAAACTTCAAACCCGTCTTCCCCCGTGTACCTTTTTTGCGACATCCGTGTGGATTTTAGACTTCTTGAGATGTTACTCTAAATACACGGGTTCTTTTGACATCATAATATGACACTAGTCCATTTGTGGATCTTACTGTGCTCTGTTTGACCCCAAAGTCATCCGTACCCCCTACTCGGGTAATAATACAGTCAAATGGATTGTCACCCAAACGGCCAAACGGCAGGAACCACTTCGGGATCAACAAAGCACCGTAGGACTCCCATATGGACTGGTGTCATATTATGAACTAGTCCTTGGTGCCAAAAGGACCGGGCCGAAATAAATAAAGATAGTTCCTAATATGGTTTAAAGAAGGAAACATTGTTGTGTTCATAATATCTTTCGTGACGATGGTTAATACTTTGGCATAAAGGAGAAGGGGGATGATCAATGAAATGAGGCGTTACCCGGTTCTTGTGAGGAAGCATGAGACCCCCCATTGATATCTAAAACCTTGAAGTTGCCACAGTACATCTTGCTTAAATCTTCTCCCTTTGTCAAATGTTGAAGGACTGTGGCTGCAACTGGTCCCTGAACCACAAAAGATTAAACGTTGGTTTACTGGGGTTAGGAGGTAGGAATCATCCGATGTCATAATATAACATCAAAACCTAATGTCAAAAGAACCGTTGTGATAATTATTATCATTGTTGTTGTTAATTAATTAGAAAATAGGAGCTGACCTGGAGGGCCAAGAGAGACCGGTCATCATGGATTTGCCAAGAAACGTCGCCCCCCTTAGATGCATAAGCTTTCATATGTTCTTCAATGTGTGCAAGATCCTTGTCCCTCATCTTCACAAAACTATATTATCTGCATACCAATAGGTCCATTTATGACACATTAACAATGTAATGTGTGTTAAGAGTCTCACATAGAAATAGCTGTAAATAGTAACAGCTAGACTGAAAAGGAAGAACGCAATCTACTAGCTAGACTATTATCCGGTTACTTGTCAAAAACATGGCATCGTCAAGTATAAAACTGGCCTTTAATTTTAAAGAAAAACATGAATTGGTCACCAATAGAAAACATGGGACAATGTTGGTGTAAAATATTCCACAGGTCATTTCTTCCAAAATACCCTTGTTCAAATATCAACAACACGCAGAGTAAAATCCGCCCAAAAGAGTAGGGTCTAGTGGAATGATTGTATAACATCAATTGACACCATAAACTCATGCATAAAACATAGTGACAATGCTTAACAATCATACCCCGACTAACAAATTACAAACCCAAGGGGAATTTGCATATGCAAACTTTATAATCTTTATACCCCATCAAAGCATCACAGATTGAAATGGGATATACATGTGCAAACCAGATCAAAGCTATCCACCAAAACCCAGTAGAATCCCACATAAAGTAGAGTGTCCCGGTAATGCTCACCATCATATGGGAAAAAAAAGGGAACGAAATGATTTTCCTTTTAATTTGAAAATGGGCAAATTGATGGGAAAAGGCCATGGATGGCTGGCGAAAAACAGACCGGCCCAAGAAAATACATTCAATACCCAGAAAAATACAAATTAATACAAATAATTGGTCGAAAACAATTGGAAAAAACACACCTAACCAGAATATATAAGAGATTCAAATTGTGGAAAAGAAATTACTATGAGAGATCCAAGAAATGCTTACCGAACCTGTAAAAGCGTGGAACTTTATTAATCGCTTGTTAGTAATGGAGAAAAAATGGTATGGTATCCACTATCCAGATTACAGAGACCAGGGTAGATGCAGATATGGCGAGAGAGAAGAAAAAAATTCAAGTCGTATTATCAAAATCTACTTGGGTGAACACAATTCGGGTCGGATCAATAAATCAGGCCAAAACAGTGAAACACTAAAAAATCACATTAATACTCAAGGAAATAGGCGATTTTATTACAATATCCCAAAGTTCATTAATTGAGGTAACTTGAGCTCCCAACTCATATAAATACATCTCACATTTTACTCCCACCATCCTAAAATTAACTTCTCATTTGACTTTACACGGTCTTCAATGCGACACTTTAACCATCAATATCTCAATTTTTATATAAATATATTTTATAAAAATTATATATTTCAAAACTATATTTCAAAATGAATCTATTCCTAATAAATTTATATGAAAATTCAATTTATTTTTTCCTTAATCTACGGTCAAAATTTAAAAAATTTGACTACAAAAGTCAAACTGGGAAATTAATTTTAGGACGGAGGGAGTATATGCTTACGAGAAAATTATTAGTATAAATAGGTAATTAATAAAAAAAAAAAATGTTTGAAATGTGTTATACCTAGAATACATCCTGCTTGTTTAAAGCTAAAATGTATTCATATTACGGAGTATTTGTTATAGATGACAAATTTTTCTGTAGACCTAAGTCCATGCTTATTTTATAAATCTTAGTTCACTTGTATCATAAAAGAAGTGATTTTTTGGAACAAAAAGAATATCTACATGCAAGGTCATGAAAAATATAAGAAAATTAACATTTTAAATGTGAACTTTAGAATTATATAAGCATTGCTCTTGTTAGATAGCCAAGATAGGTGATGAAGAGACCCAATAGTATATATCTTATAAACTAATTTGATCTGCGGATATAAGATTATAACCATTTTAAAAGAATAAAATATAGAAAATAAAATTGAACTTGTTGGACAATTATTTGACAAAACAAAATTTAATAATCTGTAATGCTAATGAATTATAAAAACAAACAAATACTCCCTAGAAGTTTGATAAGATATACCATTACTTTGTTATCATTTTGTTTTTCAAACTAATATCCAAAGAATCTCATATACCGTATCCCGGATCTTTTCTTAAGATATATCATTGAATTTCACTCTTAAATGCATATCCAACGAATATAACTTTGATATAAAACATAACTTTAAAATTTTTCCATTTCTCTTATGAAAACATTACTCACCATTTATCTAATTAAACTTTTAATGCATTTCAAAGCTCCAATTTTAATATTGCATTTCAATTTTTTTAGTTTTAAACGGGCGGAGATGGATGATCTTTCCAGTTATAATGCATTTCAAGTATTGACCCGACACGATTATTAAGAAGCTGAATATGAAGCACGCCGTTGTATCATCCCACTTCACAAGACCTCACTCTCATTGTTGGTGATTTGAGTAGCACATTGATGGATTCACATTGAGGGAATCTCTAAAACTTGGATCTAAAAATATGTGTATCACTGATTGGTACTAACAGTTCATGAGTACAACGGATGAAGTATCATAAATTTGCCGTTGTTTCTCTGATCTCCTCCAAAGAAATGGTCTGCAAATAAGAAAGAAGATTTTGCAATTCAATACACCGTATAAATCAGCCACCGTAACATTATGATAACTTCAACAAGTCACAAATGAACAACGACAACAAACCCAATGTAATCCCAAGATTCCCAACTCCGTGGGAGTCTAGAGGGTCAAGCCCTAACAACACTAGCCCTTATCACGAATTGTATTATGTATCAGAAACCAAATGGAACAGAAGAGGCTACTTATCTACTGTAAGAGTTACCTGCTCTTTCCCAGCAAAATCATTGTTCTCGGTGAGAAAGAGCATGCAATGGCACTCCTTCCTGCCATTCAACCCAAGCCTTGTAAGCGTATGCATACAGATATTTCCATCAAAACCTCAAAAAAAAAGTTCAAAGGCATTCTACCTCTCTCTCATCGGTACACAGGGACAGTTCCAGAAGCCATGCTGCACTTCTGCAACTTTATCATCATAGTACCTGTAATGGAGACAGATATTGTGAAAAGTTGACACATACACAACTGTTCAAATCATGTTACAGAAAAATATCTCCGGTTGAACTTTTACCTACAGGGGCAGAGCGGAGCACCCAGTGAGTCCTTGTGTTCTGCCAGTCCCTTTTTACATTTCAGAAAGAATATCAGATAAGCCCATGAATATATATACACAGTTTGACAAGAAACATGTAAGTTGTGACACGCCCAATTCAAGAAATTTGTAAATATCAGATTTTATGCAGTGATCTGCAGATAAATCCAGGTAGCTAAACTCTAAAAAATGTGGGTAACAGTGACATAATTTTCAAACAACACGAAGCGTACATCGAAGGCATTTCACATAATTGCAAGAGTCGCTAGCTATTTTTAAGCTCCGTATGAGTAACATGAAAATTATCAGCAGACGCAGCTCAAACACACAAGAATAACCAAGAGTTACAAAGATTCTCCTGCAGATCCAATATATCATGCATATATATTCCTTTTGGCTCGTGCCAATATATCATTTCCGTTTTCATTTACGGAAAGCATTATCATCTGCATAAATCTCAATCCCAATTTTCACTTTTTAATATGTAAGCACGATGAAAATGGCCTGAGGGAGTGCAAGTGAGAAAGCAAAGAATATCAAGCACTCAAACTAAAACCACTTTTGAAAGCATTGAAACAACTCCAATATAACCAGATGATAGACGAATTATAGAAGACAGACCTTAATAACAACAGCAGTGACCCCTTTGTCCATACAAAAGTAGGTTCCAGACTTCCGGGCATACTGCTCCGAGAACTTCCTCATTATTTCAACAGATTGCTCAGACGGTTCAGCTGCTTAGGGCATGAAATCCAAAAAGAATTACTGTACTACTCCTTAATTGCTTCAGCTTCACAAATTGTCAATCAATTAAATCGCACTGTAACTATTTATAGATTAATTTCTGATTTGAATATGAAGCGATGAAATCAACAGAAACTGAATTCTGATTCATTAGCCTAACCCCCATTTCAGCAAGCTGCTAAGCGAACAAGAATACAGACGCGGTACAAAAATAGGACTGAAATTCGAATCGCAGTAATTGAAAGCATGAAACTAAAGTAAGAAATGAACAAGACGGGGAGTAGAAGTACCGGCGGCGAAGACGGCAAGGCGGCGGCGAGTGAAAGTAGGCCGCGTGCGGGGAGTGGCCACGGCGGATGACGCGCCAAAGCCTAGATTGTAGGGAATCGAAGCCTGAAGAGCTCTCATGGCTGTCATTATTAATACTGAATTGCGGAAAATAGAAACCAGAGCCTTGCAGAAATGATCTCTCCCCTGTCAGAATTGCTCAAAGCTGCCACTGATTCTCCATTTCAACCTGACCATGGCAAAGTGTCGGGTTCTAATTGGGTTAAAGCTTGCTCTTATCCAATTAAGGAGAATCAAACTACTCCCTCTCCCTAAATATTTGTAACACTTATCTTCCCGAAACAAAATATCAAGTTTTTTCAATTCATTTTATTTATATACTAGTATAAAAATAAAAATAAAAATTACATATCAAAAAACTACATGGATAATTCTTCGAAATAAGAGAGGTCAAGAATATTTTATTTTATCAAATAACTAATGAAAACGTAGAAATAAACAAAAGTTATTGTGACCGCTGAAAAAGCAAGTGTGGCTACTATTTTGAGACGGAAGGAGTATTGTTTACACATTTGTCCCTGGTTGCATACATCATCTAATACTGATTCATTCATCATCTATTACATATATTATCCAACACTTGATTCATTTATCATCCACCCAAACTCAATCCATTCATCACCACCTGCGGGTAAAACAAGTAAATATATGTGGTGTAGTAATTATTTTTAACCATTGATTTCATTAAACGTAAAACACAAAAAATAAATTATGACACACAAAACATGTATAAAGCCTTAAGAAAAGATGGGGTTAGTGATGCTCGTGATGTTTAACATGGAATAACACAAAAAGACACCATAGGTGATAAGACCTGCTTAGAAAATCGACATGTGTTATCATTTATTGGAGAATTGAAACTATAAATCAAAAGTGACTAAACACGAGAATGCTTGCTTTGGGAGATCAATATGTGTTTATTTCATCTATTTTTGATACATTTGGTTCTCTATCTCCAGAAGCTGTGAAATTCTTCAACAAGATCCATCGAGTCGTACATATTAATATCTCAACCCTTAAGACCCATAACTTATTTTTAGTAAGATTGGATTTGCTATTCAAGAGGAGGTTGCGGCGTAACTTGTTGTCCGTTTGTCCACCACTTTTATGTAATTAGTTGAAAGTTCTGGTTAGTTTCCTAAATGTTCAATATTTTAAACGGAACATAGAACTTCTTTAGAATAGATTTGAACCAGCTATGATTTTTAACAAATTTGAAGAATGCTATGATTTCTAATTTTAATATTTTTTTTAAAAAAATAAATACGAATGGACCAGGCACGGGTGGAAAAATCTTTACTTGCATTCAGCTCAATCCATCATCAATATCTTTCTAAGTTTTCATTCATATAATTGGATTAGATGGTTCGGTTATCAATCTGATCGAATATAATTTGTCATTCTTACATGGTAATAATGCCAATCTTAACTTTGTGCATTTTGAAAATGTTGTTCAACCATAAATTTATTTTTAGCATTTAGAAATTGAATTGTTGTTTGTTTCACCTCAGGTGCCTCACTGAATGAACTAAAAGTAGCATATGGATAGGATAGGGCGGGAATGCTTTAAGGTATTTTTTTAATACAAGATTCATACGGAGTATTATTATATTTTCTAAAGACTAAGATGTCATGAAATTATCTTATATTCTCTCCGTTCCTCTAGGTTTTCCTGGTTCGCGTTAGGATAAAGTAGTTATTTTAAATTTCTTCATTTGTCACTAATATGTGAGCATATATTATAATAAGATAAATTTTTCTATCCGTGCATAATATATGTTCGAAACTAGGGTCAAATAAAACTATACCTTTAAATTGAAAAGGAATTGGTTACACATTCATTTTTATGTTGTCAACATCAGAAAACTCCAACACAACATTAGTAAGAGGTAAAACTTTGTGTAAGGTATCATTAATGTTCCTCTTGGGGCTAGGGAAAATGGAGAAGGTAGAGAAAATGGTTAATGTAAATAGATGTTCTAAATAAACAGATAAAGAGAAAGAAAGAAAGAAAATGGGCAACCTAGACATATGCAATGCCAAACAACCAAAGAATCCAGTAGATCTCAACTCTCAAAGTTATCGGGTTGCTGCAAATCGGCATCTTCTTCGTGGTTCTATTGCGGGGCACGCCTGGATTGGATTGCAGATATAAGCTTGGGGGGCACAAGTGGTGGCTGAATCATCTCCTGCTCTCGAATGGCTTTGGCATGGGCAGTTAGAGTTGGGTTAACCACCCTCATATAACTCCCCAACCTCTGTACAATATAACTTGGTTTGTTTCATGACAAACAAGGAAAGCGCCTGTCGCTTGCTACAAGGACACAAATAGNCCCCCCCCCCCCCCCCCCCGCAACCCACCCCATACAGTGCAACATTATGACACCGAGTGTTGGTGTCAAAAGAACCGGTCTCTTTGTTTTAATATAAAGCTTTTCGCTAATGAGAACCAAACTGCACATGGAATAAAACACTAGAGATGTTTGAATCTAAAAAAAACAAAAGTAAATGGCCAATTTCTTCCAACAGGCAAACATTAAGATCATATTTGCACTTTCTCCCAAATCCATATATTGCTGACAATTTTTGGGCACAAACCTCTAGCTCAGATGTCATCTCTCTCACTAAAGTCCTGTTTGTTATGCCTTTGACATCCACAATGGCAAGAGGATGCTTCTTAAAGTGTGCTTTCAACACTTTGGCCGCACCAGTAACCATATCGCTTCTCCCTTTGAGATTAAAAAAGACAAAGCGCAGAAGGTAAGATTACATGTTTAAACAGTGACATTATACTCTAGCCGAGAGAAAACAGATAGAAGAAACCCATGCTGATTTTTTTCTTCTTTTCTAAATTTAGGGCTGTCAAAAGGGGCACAACACAGGATGTTGAGACCGTCTCGCCAAATTAGAGGTTTGGGCAGATTAAATAAGAGCCAGAATGACATTGGGAGTTCTTAGAACTTGGATAACTCATGTATTATTCTGGTAAAAGAATATAGCATGTGGCTTACCCATATACCACAGATTATATAACAAAAACTAGCACTGGACTCTAGCCTACCAATTTGCTTATGTCACATTGTCTCCCAAATTCCTAGACTGTAATCTATGTAAATTTTTATAGCTAACAGACTCTGTTTTTTACAAGGGCAAGTCTGTGTACATCTTGACCTCCAAACCCCAAAAGAGTTGGGATTATACTAGGTTTTATTGATGTGACCAGTTAAGTACTCTGTACTAAGTACTATATTACAAATCGTCAAAAATATCTAAATCAAGAGATTTTTTTTATTTTTCTTACTATAAAAAGAAAGGACGTGGGCTGGCCTCCCTCCCTGTGTACCCGTCGGCATGCAGGTACAGTAATAAAATTAATCCATGTTTTAAAAGGACTGGCCCAATTTGATCTGCATTTTCCTGGCCCGTTTTGACAGCTCTACTTTATACGAGCACAAATAAATGTACTGCCATGTAATGTAACATATAGGACCAAAGAAGTTTATTAACTTTGGAAGAGGATGCTGACAGTTACCTATGGCAAGTACTGGAGGTTTTTTCATAGCAAGTGCTTCTTTTCGAAGAATAAATCTTTCTTTATTTGAAAGAGGTGATGTTCTGGAAGTTACTGCTTGGAATTTGTTCTCCACAAGGCATTGTTTTACCTCTGTTTTTAGAGAACTAACATGAGACACAACAGGTTCCATGTCAAAATCTAGCATCTTCTCAATTCCGCCTATGAATGAAGAACTTGTCTGATCCTGCAGCCAAACCAAACGTGTGATCTACCACACACAAATTAATATTGGAAAGTTAAAGGCACAAACACGGCACAAATTCAATTTTCCTTGGTACTGACTTTTAAGGGGCAATATAGAAAGCGGTAAATGCTAGAGAAAGAAAATTGGGAGGAAAAGAGGTAAAAGGTGGAAGGAAAGAGACCTTAAAAGAAAATAAAAAGATGGTCTCAAACTCAATAAGTTCATCTTAAAAGTTTGTTGAAATCCATTTTTTAACGTATGTCTAGTATATAAAGACTAAGAAATCTAAATATATGTACATAAATTTAGAATTATTCATATTAAGGTTTCCTTAACATTCTTCAAGGTATAGCCAAACATAAAGAGTAACATTCCTTAATAAATTTCTCCCAAGTATCTTCCAGACTTTAAACATACTCTGAAAGCAGGATCACTGGATGCAGTTCCACAGTTTACATTGTCTGCTTCAAAATTTGCCACACTATCAATTCTTTTCCTGGACAACTTGTCCCAATGCAAGGGTTCACTAGCATCAAATGTAACTCCATCCTTGTTCTCAGATTGCATAAAACAATGTGTTTTCAATTCCTGCAGAACAGTGTGAATGGTGTCTCTGGAGTCATTAAAAAAATCCAGATTAAGTACTCCCATGTGCCATGTCACAATAATTATCATTGTTGTTTAAATTCTTTTTGTTTCACAATAACTATCCTTTTATAAAATCAAGAAACTATTCAATATGCCAATACGGTGCAAAAATCATCCACTTTTCGTCTTCGTCTCAGTTCTCAATTAAATAATTTCTAATAGGTCCAAAAGGGGGAAATAATTTAATGATAGCTACTCGAGTACTACATCCTTCACAGTTCACCCTTTCCTAATTGTCACTAAAGAGAAAAAATGTTCTCAAATAAGTCTTGTTTACACACTCAAGATCATCAATTGATCATATTTTCCACCATTACCCTTCTTCATCCATAAACATTACAAAGTGCATAGTACTTATCAACACTAATTAATAGGGGTTTGGAGTCATATTATACTACCTTTTCCACATTTCTAGGGGAGTGTGTTTCTTTCTTAGTATGGATGCAAACACCTAAATACGGAATACTTAACAGAGAACTAAGGATGTATTGCTTTCTCACAATATTGTGAAATCTAATGGGTTTCTTAATCCATTTTCTACATCCTTTTTGTTAATGTGAAACAGAAAAAGTAAATATCAATATCAGCTCCATATTAGCAATTAATTACAGTCCAAACAACAAACTATAGTTATCACTTACTTCAGCACTTGACACACTGAGTTGGGCACCAGTATTTTCCTTATCTTCCATACATCTTCCATTTTCTGAACTCAAATTTGGTACATTTTCAATTTCCATAGTGGACAATGTGTCCCTACTATTCAGTGCACAAGTATTCAAATCAGCCTCAATCTTATTTTCAGATTGGATAGAAAAGTTTTGCTGCAATTCCTGCTGAACAGAGGATACGGGGAAATGAGATTCACATTCATATCAGCCATGAAACTAAAAAGAACAAATACCAGCAACCACTCACTTCTTCAGTTTTTAGCTCTTTCAGTTTGACATCAACTATTTCCCTATCTTCTGCCTGAATCATTTGTTTTGAATGGTGTTAATTATATATTAGCTCATACTAACCAACAATATAGCTCCAATAGTAAATTATTCAAAACCAATGGGCAGGTTATTTGAACCCACCAATTTCAGCCTCAAGCCTTCTATGTTCTGGTTAAGCTTCAACACATGAAGTTTCAAGGACTGCATTAGACCAAACAAGAGAACAAATGCCACATTCAGTGCTTCTTCACACAAAAACGTTACGGCGAGAAAATTATAAAACGAAACACAAAACCCAAAGCCATAGGTTATAAGTATTTGCTGATGTTTCGATAAATGCATTGTTAACCTACCTCACGGCGCTGAGCCTCTATAGAACGCTTCATAGCTTGTCTTTTGCTTAAAAGTGTCAGAGGTCTCAAGGAAGCAGGGGGTATATAGTTTTTACCACGGTAAACAATGATGGCATAACCCTTACTGGTTTGCTCAATAGCAACTAAAATCCCACAACTTTCTCTCTCGAGCAACCTAGCTATTTCCCAAACCTCTTCAATGCCCTTCCCCGCAGCTATTATCTTCACCAACTCCCTATACTTCCAGTGAAGGTGCATATTTTCAATTGTTCCACTGAATATGCCTCGCCTACCTAAGGATGGAAGAAGAGATCATATGAACATCCCTATTTGCCCATGGTAAGCAAGTATAGCCCTTGTTTGCTTGGCAGATTTCGGGCAGGACAAGGACTGCATGAGGCATGAAGGTGATATTTATTTAATTACTTTCTCCTTCCCAAAAAAGGGCTTCAAAAGATTTCCCCCCCAAAAAAAGAGTCCAGTTTGAAAGAACTTTTATTTCAAAGTAAAATTCTCGCAAGGCCAAGTGGCAAGCAGTTTTAGCCAATGACTCTAATCAAAAAAGGTTTGGAGGTATAAGTGACCATTTGTAACTCATAAAAGCTAGTAGTTAGTAACTTGCAGAGTTGACTAAAAATAGAAAACCACCTTACTCAAACAAGACTCTTTTTTTTGGGATAGATGAGTAATTTGTTCTTATATTAAGTTGGCATGAAAGAAAGTGAAAATGAAAAATCATATAAAAATACATTATTCAACTAAATATATAGTCATTTTAAAAGACAAACATTTAAATTTAAATTGGTAAAACAAAAATCAATCTTTCCCTTCCCTCCCCTCCAGAATCCCCCAACCAAACAAGCCCTAAATATAGGGAAAAATCACTGACCTAGGAGTAAGAAAGGCTTCATTCTCAAGCCAACCCTGCGGAGCATACATCTTTCTTCTTTAGTTATACCTTCCTTATCAGCATCAGACGGTACAGATATTTCTTCCATATCTAGCTCTTCTATAAGTTTTTCTGTCTTAGCTTTCTTTTCTAGTGCCTAGCATTGAAATAGTTATATCTTGAGAGCTGAGATGCAGGTAATAATATACACAAGAGTAGGAATGACAGCTATATTTACATACAGCTTCGAGTTTGTCTACAGTTCTTTTAATAGCGGCTTCCACCGAATTTATTAGTCTTTTTTGCAGGACAACTTTCTTGTTAAGTTTCTCCGTTTTCTGAACACCGCAGGTAAATTCCGTGCTAGACTGTGCAGCTTCTTCCCTCAAACTTAAGAATTTTTTTTCTTGGACTGCTCTCTTGATATTCACACAAGCATTATGATCAAAGGAAGCGGATTCTATAATTGTTTGAGTTTGTTCTTTGGCATCAACCACAGATGAATGTCCGTTTTGTGTGTGTTTTTCTCTAATTGTTTGCATTCTTCGCTCTTCTATTGCTGAGGAAACTGCAGCAGGCAAAAAATCCTTACCTCTATACAGGGTAATGTAGTCCTTATCCCTGGCCAGCAAGATTCCCCCTGTCAGATGCTGCAATATGTTTATTGTATCATTACTTAAAAAAATATTGTAAGAACTCTAAGGCCTTGCTTGGCTGGGAGATTCCAGATGGTATTATATTGAGGTGAAGGTGAAAGGTGCTTTTTATATTATGAATTTATGTTCTTATGTTGAGATAGTTGGGAAGAAAGTGAAGATGAATAGTTTGATAGAAATACATGATTGAACTAAAAGTAGAGTTTTCTCTAGTCTAATACCGAGACTTACAAAAAAGAGATGAATTGGTAAAATAAATAAATAAAATCATCCTCCTACCCTCACCCTCAAATCTCCCAACCAAACAAGCGCTAATGCAAAGCTCTACAGCAATGTGCCTCGAAAGAAGTTTACCACTAGATAAATGTTTTGCTAATCATAAGAAAACATTTTTAAAAATATATAGCCAATCTCACATACCTTCAGCTCTTCAGCCATCAACTTGCTATTCATGTTTTGAACTCCTCTTTTTACAGCGACTTTTGCAATTTCACATTTCTCCCATAGCTTCACAATGGCAGAAGCCAATCCTTGAAGATTCCTATTCCTGCCTGCCTCAGAAACATGAGAAGTCGTATTTAAAAAAGAGGTGCTTCTGTGTCAAAGAGTAATCAATAGCATTGAAGCAAATACGTACTCACCTAAAGCAAAATGGCACCGTACTGGCCGAGCAAGTCTCTTTAATGTTGTCATTTCATCATTTGTTAAAATAGGTTTCACTCCATATGGAAGAAGGCGGAAAGGTCTCTTATATCCAGGGACGATATCTGGCAAAAGATCAGCATCTACAGGTAATGGATGATACCCCCACCAATCAGTATAACGTGGCCCAAGTCCTTCTAACATCTGGTCAGCTTCTTCAACAAGTTTTGCCTCACCGGGTAGTTCAAATCGTACTATATTTGGAGAGCCTACCCCCTTTATCAGAGTAGGAGAAGAGACTCCATTGCCTGCTCCATGGTCTATGAGTTTATCAGCAGAAACGTCAGTCAAAGCATCACTATTTGAAGCGCTGTCATTAACAAAGTAGGGGTATTCATAATCAGTTCCTCTGTACAATACTATAGTACTTCCTGATCTCCAAATAACCAAGCCTCCTGTTTTTGCCTGGGAAATTCCAGAGGACTCACAAGATGAATACCATAGTAGAGCACATCAAATCAAACCAAACATATTCATTATATCCCAATTATAAGTAGGGTTTGGGAGGGAGAAATCTATGCACCTTATATCTATTTGTGAAGTTTTCAAAAATGTAAGGCATTGAAAATTCATGAGAAACCTATTTGAAGACTTTTGTAGTTTTTGAAAATTCTTGAGAACTCGGGAAAATCTATATCCCACCTGTGGAAAAAGTAGTAAAGTACAGCCCTAACCTCCAAAATATCATGAGTTCTTTTCATATTCATCTTGCACAAGTCTTCACATTTTATCTTCACAAGCTCTGACCGTCTCCATCTTTCATGAATGCTATTAACAATGCCCTCTGTAATCCCGGGCTTCCCTATGTTAATCTTCTGCTTCAGCCTAATCCCTAGGGTCCTCAGCCTACTGAGCTCCTTTGCAGGCAAAGTTAGCTCAGCTGAAGTAGGCACTCTCTCTTTCTTCTCATCTTTACCCTTATCCCTCTCTTCCATATGTGCCTTCTTCACCTCATTCCTCAAATCATGGAATCTCTGTATAGCATTCCCTGACCCGGGCAGGGGTACCGGATTCTGAGGCGTGCTCCAACTCGGGTCGAGGGTATGCCCAACCCGGTACTTGGGCAGTTGAGTGGGCAAAGGGATGAAAATTTGACCTGGAGAAGCCGAATTCGCCCTTGGCCGGAGAATTCCTTCTGGTTTCTCTTTATTGCCATCTTCTTCTACATACCCAAGACTGCGAAGCTTTTCGGCGATTCTTTCAATGGCAGATTGAGAAACAGACTGGGCATCAGCTGGGGAGGCCGCTGCTAAAGAAGGAGAGAGGCGGCGAATTTGGACTCTGCCGGCAACTTTAGGGTTCTGAGATGTTGGCCATGGAAATGAGAGGAAAATTAGGTGTGGAGGTTTCAGGAGGGTTCTAGATTGGTGAGCCTGTAGATAATTCCCGGGAGGAAGAACCAGCATTTGAGGTATCAATCGACGGGAGTCCACGCCGCCGGCGAGTTCGTCCCGGCCGGGCCGTCGGTAATTCGTTTCTGCTGCAAGTTAGAAGCTGTTGGCTGGGAATACCATTAGCTATGGAGAGCTGACAATTCTTCAAACCCGTATGGCAACTGAGCTCCAGTGTTTGCTACAGTACTAATGTATTTTGCGGTGTATCGTGTATGGAAGGAACATACGGAGGTTGAAGACGACCACGTGTGTGGGTTTGTTCCATTTGACCCATAGATAGAGTAGAATCGGCCTACATGCCTCATTTTTACTTTTTTTTTTTTTTGAAAAAATTATACAAGTAAAAAAATACTCCCTTATTCAAAAATTTCTTTCACGGTTTGACTTGACACGAAGATTAAGAAAAATTAAAAAGTATAAAGATTTTATATGTTTTTTTCTTTGATGTGATGGAATAAAATGAATAGTGTCAAAAAATAGGGATATAATGGTACATTCATTACAAAAAATTGCCAAAATAAAAAATGGAAATTTTTTTTGGATAACCAAAATAGGAAAATAAAAGGAAATTAATGAACGGTAGAAAATAATTTTTTTAGTGTTATTGCGCCTATTAGCATACGGAATAATATATGTTTATGTTTTCTCAATTTAATTAACGTTCATATTCTCATATAGAGTATAATATTTATTTTTAAAGAAAACAGTCCAATTTTTTAATGCAAAACAACATATTGCTCTGCATTTTTATCAATTTGTCTCACATTTTTGCAAAATATTTAGCATGATTAAAAAAATAAGTTACTCCTAAATTAAAATATGTTTCATACAAATCATTGATCATCATTATTACTCCCTCCGTCCTAAAACTTTCTTCCCAGAGCACTATTCCAACTTCACAGAAATTTATATTTATTTGTGTTTTTTCATGGTCTATATGATAAAATAAAATATTCTTGTCACCACTTGTTTTGTTGATTCGAGTTGACGTAGCAAGTTAAGACCGCCTTTTTTAGAAAAATGCTAGGAGTACACCAAAGGTGTACCCCATTTGTCTCCCATCCCCTCCTTGTCCACATAATTGGGCAAGAAAAATAAAAAAAAAGCACAAAATTGATGCTGGGTACCCCTTATTTTGGGATAAAGACTGGCAGGTCCCATTGTTTTTCAAAATATACTCTGAGGTACCTTAAGATATTCGAAAACTGACTCCGGGGTGACAATCCGTCATTCCCTCCGTTAATATTTCTTCTCCGTTATCCTCCTCCTCCCCCAAAAAATTAATGCCAGGTACCCCTTATTTTGGGATAAAGACTGGCAGGTCCCATTTTTTAAAAAAACTTACTCATAGGGATTTAAAATATCCTTTGTTCAAAATATTACTTTATCGAATTAATATACAATATATGTTTTATTTAATAATAGGTCAAAAATTAAAAACAGTTGATTGAAAAAAGTCAAAACGTGACATATGCTCCGAGACAGAGATAATATTATGTACTCCCTCCGTCCTAATTCTTTCTTCCCTGTTTGACTTTTCCCCATTTTTAATTTTTGGCTTTGACTTTAATTTTTACCCTCCTTAAAAAAATTTTTGATTTTTTTTTGCAATCATTCAAAATATAGAGCTAGAAGATAATTGGTGTAAATACATGAGGGTATTAATGTCATTTTCCATCTTTTTTTTCTAATGGGAAGGTAGTTTTAGGACGGAGAAAAAGAGGAAGTGAGAAGATAGTTTTAGGACAGAGGGAGTATTTCCTATTATTTCCTTAATTATTATTAGAAATTAATTGCAGAGTAGTAATTTTATTACTCTATTTTTAAGAAATACGGAGTAACAATCATTATTATTTAGAAAAATAATACTCCGCATTAGTCAATTTGATAGTCGCCATTGGTAATGGTGTCTTGGTAAATTGAGAAAACAAGAGGATTTGAGAAAAGAATAAGATGAAACAATAAAAACAGTGTTAAATTTAATATGTCTTGTAAAGATAATATGAAACAAAAAATAGTGTTAAATTTAATATTATTATGAATTACGACGTATAATTTATAACCAAGTGAATAAATAATTTTAATTTTATAAATGATACGTAAATATATTACTAAAATTAATTTTCAATTAAAGATTTAGAGTAGTAAAACTAATAAAAAAAGTTAATACCCTCATGTATTTACACCAATTATCTTCTAGCTCTATATTTTGAATGATTGCAAAAAAAAAAATTTCAAAAAATCTTTTTTAAGGAGGGTAAAATTTGAAGTCAAAGCCAAAAATTAAAAATGGGGAAAAGTCAAACTGGGAAGAAAGAATTAGAACAGAGGGAGTACATAATATTATCTCTGTCTCGGAGCATATGTCACGTTTTGACTTTTTTCAATCAACTATTTTTAATTTTTGACCTATTATTAAATAAAACATATATTGTATATTAATTCGATAAAGTAATATTTTGAACAAAGGATATTTTAAATCCCTATGAATAAGTTTTTTAAAAAAATGGGACCTGCCAGTCTTTATCCCAAAATAAGGGGTACCTGGCAGCAATTTTTTAGGGGAGGAGGAGGAGGAGGATAACGGAGAAGAAATATTAACGGAGGGAATGACGGATTGTCACCCCGGAGTCAGTTTTCGAATATCTTAAGGTACCTCAGAGTATATTTTGAAAAACAATGGGACCTGCCAGTCTTTATCCCAAAATAAGGGGTACCCAGCATCAATTTTTTGCAAAAAAAAGTAATAAATAAAAATGAAATAAAAATAGGTGGTGGAGAAGGGGGTGGTGTATATTTGGGGTACACTTTTGGTGTACCCCTAGCATTGCTCCCTTTTTTATCACATTATAAATAAAACTTTATTCTAATTTGTTTCCATCATCTCCTATGGAGCCAAAGATTCACTTTTCTTTTCTTTTTTGTTTTGGAGTATGATGTAATAAAACAAAATGAATCTCTAAACTGTCTGCTATTCTTTAATTAATGAAATAGCAATTAGTCAATCAATGCAACTTTCGATATTGAGCCGAGGTTTTCTTTGAAAACAACCTCTCTATTTTCAAGTAGGGATAAGGTTTGCGTACACACACCCTCCCCAGACCCTACTCTTGTGGAATTCAACTGGGTTGTTATTGTTGATCAACAATTAAACATTAAATTAAGCTATGTCTACCTTTTAAGTATGGGATTCACACTTTTCCCTCCTAAAATCATACACTTATGTTAAAGAATACACAAAAAAAAACTTTTGCCTCAAATATATCGATGAAATTTAACTTTAAAGTCGGCCTGACGGGTCCAAAAAGTAGGTTTGACACCCAAAAATCGAGGTCAAATGGGTTCGGGTTGTGTTCGACGCAAATTTACAAGTCTAGTCACTAATGACATCTATACAAAATCCTCCAGGAGATGCAGTCCTTCCATGTGCCCTGCCCAAGGCCTCCTCATATGGCTTCCATTCAGCCCTATTTGTTGAGCCGCTTAATGCATCAGTCCTAGAGAAAGCCTAATCCCTTCACTTGCCTCTTGACTGTTCTTTGAGTTCTTGTTGTTATATTCCATAGTTTGTTCTTGGTTCCCAGAAGAGCGGTTAACTAACATTGTTGTATTAGAAACGTTGCGCATTCCCCAGCTCTAGAGCTTGCCTACATTTAGTAACAGATGAAATGTGAGCACAATTCATCATAAGATAAAAAAAATAAATCACAATATTAGGAATGGTAGAAGTGCCAATTTATTGCTCCCTCTGGTCCTACTAATTAGAGTGGTCCTAACTCCTAAATATAAGTCACTTTTGTATTAGTAATGTACATTTCATTCTCTTTCGTTTCAAAAGTCTGTCGTAAACTAAATCACATATTCCCCATAAAATGTATACTAGGAAAGTAGAGATTACTTGATTTTCATTTAATAATTTCCTTGGTTTGAGTGAAAGACAAAGATGTGCCATATAATAAGGGCAAGAGGGAGTATAGCATACGAAAAATAAAATTTTAAGTAAATAAAATGAGAGCAAGTTTGACGGTAGAGCGAATAGTGAATGTAAACAAAATAGAGCAAATTAAGTATGGGACATTACAAATCAATCAAGAAAACACTAACACAACATTTTGTGTTGCTAACTAGGCCCTTGTTTGGGAACATTGTTTTTAATTTGCGTTAACGTTTGGGATAATTTTATAATGGTGCAATTTAACTTTGAAAGTACTAAAGCTGAACTCTGTGGTTAGATAGCCTTTTAAAGATACAAAGGCTCATCCAATGGGGAAAATGTGATATTTTAAAGATACACCTATCATAATCGAATTGCTAGTAGAAAGAGAGATCTTATGTTATTCCATTGTGTAATTAAAATCCTGAGGTAAATATGAACCTAACTTCGATTTATAGCTCACTCTCAAAAGTTAAGGTTTTGCAATTAACAGATGCAGCAGCCTCTTTTGATGAATCTGAAATTCCGGAGTATGGAATACAACCATAGCCATCTCATCCACCTATTACAGTGGCGACTGCAATTCAACCCTAATGCTAGAGATCACTCAGGCAGAAATCAAGCATTTCACTTAAAGGGAAGAACAATTTAAGGAAGAAGACTCACCCATTTCATAAGCCTAGAGGACAGGAAGAAGCCTCTCTGGTGCTGCTGACGGCTCTATGACCTACTGACGGCACCATAAGATCTCCCCATTGCTTTCGTGAGATTGGAGGTTGTAAGTTTCTTCTTTCATTCATAGCAAACCACTTTAGAACACATTAGAAGAAACATAATGATTGTTCAGATGAAAATTTTGGGATAATCCCAAGAAAAGAGTGCAGATACCGCAACTCGGTTCAGACAACAAATCATAAACAACCCTTTACTTATTTACATAGCTCCATCCAGATGTTTTCTTCAGGCTGCCTTGTTTCATTTCCTCCCGTATCCGTAAAACATCATCCCATCTTCCACACTCTGCATACATATTGGATAAACCAACATAAACACCATGATTGTTGGGGTCCAAACGAAGAATCTCTTTAACCACCCTTTCTGCAATCTGTATATTCCCTTGGCTCTGGCAGGATCTTAGCAGGGATCCCCAGATGACCACATCAGCCTTCCAAACCATTCTTCTGATCAACTGCTCGGCTTCCAAGAGCTTTCCACATCGGCCTAGAAGGTCGACCATGCAGCAGTAGTGTTCTAGTTTGGGCTCTATGCCATACAATTGTTTCATGGAGTTGAAGACTTTACGACCATAACCCAAGAATCCGGCATGGCAACAGGCAGATAATACCCCTACTAATGTAATATCATTTGGCTTCAAATGTTTCTCCACCACTAGCTTCTTGAACAAGTTAATTGCTTCTTTGGCATGTCCATGAGCTGCCAACCCACTGATCATTGCATTCCAAGTTGCAATGTTCTTTTCCCTCATACTAAAGAAACATGTTGTAGCTTCAACTATCGCTCCATTCTTTGCATACATGTTTACCAATGCAGTACCTAAAATCACTCCCATTTCCATCCCTCTCTCCACCATATATACATGAACTTCCTTCCCCATTTCCAAACAACCAGCCTGTGCACAAGCCGATAGCACAGATGCCAGAGTGGCCCCATTGGGCTCCACTCCATTATCAACCATTTGCTTGAACAACTTAATCGCATTCCCGGATTCATCATTTTGAGCATACCCACACACCATCGTTGTCCATATTGTTGTTCCTTTCTCGGGAAATTCATCAAACAGCTTCCGGGCATGGTACAAACCAGCAGTCACAGAGTACGCACGAATCAATCCATTGGCTGAATGCAAATTCAAATGCAACCCGAACTTGAACACCTGGGTATGAACCTGTTGAGTGACGCAAAATTCCTTCCTGTTGGAACAAGCTTTGAGCAAAAAGGGGAATGTGTGTTTACCCGGTGTCACTCCGGCCCTGCGCATCATAACATAGAGAAAAAACGCTTCTTGTGGTTCCGAGCTACTTGCTATGGCTCTAATGAGGGTGTTCCACATGAATGAGTTCGGCTCTAGAATACTTCCGAAAATTTCCAGGGCGTAATTAAGGTCGACGGCGTGAGAAAGAGCGGCGGAGGAAAATAACCGGCTGGCGGCGTAGTTGTCATGGATACGGCCGGTGGTGATCATTAGGGCATGGATCTCTTTCAATTGGCACATAGAGGTACATTTGTCGGCAAGGAGAGAGAGGCGCGGGAAATTCGAGAGCGGCTGCGGAGATGGCGGAGGAGAAGAGATGCTAGCGAGGATGCTGATCAGACGACGGGAATTCCGCCGGATCGGCGGTCGCAAGCTTGACGGCAGAAACCTGATGGAGTTGCATAACATCATTAGGCAAGCAATACTAAGCTTTGAGTACTATGCTCTGAGAAGTGACTTTTTACTGAGCTCGAGTTGGATGTTTGTTCATGGCCCTCCGGACAGATGACCACCGCCATTGTCGCGGTTGCCTCCACCGGAGCACCGTATGACCACCGTACTCATTCCATCTGAAACCACCCTTCTATTTTTGGGGAGGTAGTAGGGAATCTAGGGATAATATTAAGGTACTTTTGCTAGAATTTAAATAGAATTGGAAGTTGAAATTTTATAAAATTTATTTGGATAAATTAAATTTTCTAATTTAGTTTATTTTTTGTACTATTTTTTCAAAATCTATATATTTTTGTATTAACAAACAATAGAATTGAAATTATTGTCTCCAATTCTAATTCCATAATTTGAATTTCGTATCTAAACAAAGTCTAAGTACTTTTGTGTTCAAAAAATAAGATTTGATAATACTCTCTATTAGTTCCGAGTACATTTGAATCAATGTGAGATAGTGATACAAAAACTTGCTTTATAAAATTGATAATCACGAATCAAATTGTTTGACCTTAATTATCGAATATTTCAAATATCTTGCCCACGCGGGATGCTCTCATTTCTAAGAGAGTGGAGGTGGATGAGGGTTGCCCTCTCTGTGGAGGAGCTCTCGAAACAGTTGATCATATTTTTTTGTTTTGTCCTTTTGCAGATTCGGTTTGGAGGCTCATGGGCAAAGGAGGAAATAGAATCCCTTTTATCTCTTTCCAAAACTGGTTCTAAGTTCGGTGTCAGAATGACACTTTATTGGAGCTGCGTACCGTCGCTTTGACTTGCTGGGCAATTTGGAAAGCACGTAACAGTGCCATTTGGGATCATAAGACACTGCATCCAGGGAAGCTCAAGAATATGGTGTTGTCCATGGAAGCCCAATGGTCAAACAAGACTGTTGCAGAGCGGGAGCGTACTCCACAGCGGCACGACGTAAGTTTGCGGGCAGAAGCATATAGGTGTTTTTTGATGCTGCGACATCAATTTCGGAGGAGTCCATCTCCTTCGGCTGTGTCCTTGTTTATCCAGGAGGTGCCTTTGTGGCAGTGGCAAATGGAGGAAAACTTGGGCCTGTAGATCCTCTTTTGGCGGAAGCTCTCGCTTGCAAGGAAACATTATCTTGGTTGCGGAATCGAGGTATTCGTGACGTTGAAATTCTTTCTGATTGTGAGGTTTTAGTGGGGGCTATCAAGCAAGGAAGGGCCTTTGAGTGCTACTCTTATCTAGGTCCCATCCTTGATGATTGTGTTGAATTATTATCTTCGTTTACATCTATTGGCTTTCATTTTATTCGTAGGAATCATAATTGTATTNGAGGAAAACTTGGGCCTGTAGATCCTCTTTTGGCGGAAGCTCTCGCTTGCAAGGAAACATTATCTTGGTTGCGGAATCGAGGTATTCGTGACGTTGAAATTCTTTCTGATTGTGAGGTTTTAGTGGGGGCTATCAAGCAAGGAAGGGCCTTTGAGTGCTACTCTTATCTAGGTCCCATCCTTGATGATTGTGTTGAATTATTATCTTCGTTTACATCTATTGGCTTTCATTTTATTCGTAGGAATCATAATTGTATTACTCATACTCTTGCACGGTGTGCTACGCCCCATTTTGTCTCATGGGGCTGTACACCACCCAGTTGTATTACACATCTAATTTCTTCTGAATGAAGTTTTGTTTTTTCTGTCAAAAAAAAATTATCGAATATTTCAAATATCTATTTATGTATTTGGTCTTATCATATACAGACTACAGAGTATCCTGTATTGTGTTTTCCATCATTTAACATTTTATGATGATTATTATTATTATTATTACAATTATTAATAGTCTAATATCGTATGAATTAAAAATAATTAATTTTTTAAATGTAGACTCCTTATTTTTTATTCTTGCCATTTACAATCTTTTAAATTTGTATTGTACTCCCTCCGTCCTATAATGACCTTTCCGGTTCGAAGAAAAATCCCAAGTTTTTCAATCTATTTTATTTAAATATTGGTATAGAAATAAAAAATAAAACATACATATTTAAAAACTACATCAAAAGTTCAACAAAACAAGTGGTGACAAGAATATTTTATTTTATCATATAGGCCATGAAAAAACACAAATAAATATAAATTCCCGTAAAGTTGGAATAGTGCTCTGGGAAGATCATTATAAGACGGGAGGAGTATTTAGGTACCATGATGGTAAACAAATAGATGTGTCACTTTACACTTTATCATGAATGAAGGCCATAAAGTATGTTTATGGGTGTTCAAATCAATGAAAGCACCAATTGATACAAATCTTGTACGATTTGTATTGAGATAGAAAAGAACTTCGAGCATTCTTCAAGCTCCAAGAAAGGGGAGGTAAAGAGAGAAAGAAAAATTTGAGCGTTTCCAAGGTCCAAGAGAATAGAGAAGGAAAATTTTGATTATTCTTTATTGATTTCATAAGAACAGGGAAGGATTACAATATATAAAGAGTAAAGCTACGTTAGTTGACCTAATGGGCTCGAGCTCGTACTAAACCCTAATCTATGGAATACTAATAATTAATAATAAATAATACTATTTAATAATTAATATAACTAATCTATTATCATATCAGTTTACATCATTGCCCAAACATTTGGAACATAGAAGTAGACATATATCAATTCTCGAAGCACCAATGGGAATATTGAAATTTTTTTGGGAGTATTAGTGTCATTTAATGAATCTTGGAGTATTTACATACATTCTTGCAAATCTGGGAGTATTAGTGTGATTTTTTCTTTTTTCTTCTCTTTATGAAAAAAGAAAGAAAAATAATAAAGAAAAAAGAAGAGGGGACATTGGTGTCAATTTCCAAAATAATAACGGATAGCAGAGTTATTCATCTAATATTTGAAGAATATTTTAGACTAGAGGGCCATTAACATATCAATATCAGAACCATGAAAAGAAATGACATAAACTTTGAAACAATTGAGGATACGGTGCACAATTACCAACCCGCAAGAGATATCGGTGCAATAAACTCATTCACACACACGAGTGTATATGACATCCACATACACTAGGGACACACAGGACATCATTAATTTAATTAATTAATGAGAAGATAAAAATCCACTCTTTAATTGAGTACTGACATACTAGAACATGAACAAAAGACGGGGGTGAGCTTCTGTGCTAAGAAAAATGTTTGGTTAATTTTTATATATTATGAAATTGAACCAATGAGGACCTCTTTTTGACAACTAAAGCATGTAAGTATACAATTGATCCATATAGGCCTGGTTGTGCTGAATATAATAGCAAACTTCATCACTATCAGCCAGTCTTTTCTTGGCCTCAAGAAAATATGCAGCTTTGACCTAAAGCCAACAAAACCAGACATTTATATAACAAACTTGGAGAATATTTATCTGAGTGCAAGTTTTTGACAAAATTACTTACCCCATGAGCCAAAGAAGGCCATGCTCTGTCTGCAGCCCTCATGACCTCCGCCCTCCGGTGTCTTTGATCAGAAGTAAACACAGGAATTAAAAAAATGATTTGATGCTAAGAAGAGAAAGGTATGGATCTTTACTAGTATGTAATCGTCTGGATGCGTCATAAAGTAATTATCATAGTAGTCATCCCTGGTGATGTATTTTACACAAAAAAACATATATGATCACAATCATAACCTACAATTGACTGAGCAAATGGGGAAAAAGAAAGGTTCAAGTAAAACATATATTACCTGAAACTGAGACAAGCATGACTGTATACCGACTCTCTTGTGTGTTTGCTTGTTTTCCTCGCAACTTTCCTAGTAGATAGTGCTCTCTGCACAAAAAAGCAATGTGAGAATTGATATGGAAGCATTTCACAGCTAGCTTGTTTCAAGAAGAATTGAATACACTGGACTGGACAACTAACAGCTATAGTAACTTAAAACATACGAGTACACCATTATTTGAAAGGAGAGGAGACAACGTGGGTGAAATTCTGGTTAATTTGGGTGGATGTTTGAAAACAAAATGTACATGTCCTAGTTTGGTAAGGGATGGAAATAGATGAAAGATGGGTTATAAACATCACAAAATTGCATTTTCTTGTAATCTTAAATCTTAATCTTACTCCTTTTATATTTCATCAACACTATGTTTGGTTTAAGTAATTTAGAATGAAATGAAAAGAAAATCGCTTTCTCTCATTTTCCTCACCAAAATGGGAGGAATTTAGATTTCTCTCCTCTTAGGACATTTTGCCTTCTCGTTTCATTTTCCTTCCACTTTTTCTTTTCTTTTCCTCTCTAACCAAACAAGAGAAAATGTTTTCCACCTCATTCTCTTTTCTTTTCCCTATTAAATTCCTTGAACCAAACATAGTGTAAGCGTGTTTATGTCATTTCACTCAAAAACTAAATCCCAACCCCAAAATACTATCTCTTCCCATGGGAATTCCATTCACCAAAATGTCAAACCCTCCTAACAAACATGGGAGAAAGTAAAAACCAAATACCAATCCCTATATTCATTCCCACTCACAGTTTCTCGCAAAACAAAGACTCTTCAAAGGCAAGCCATACAAAGAAACAACCAATATAAGTATAGTAAAGCAGAACACAGTATAGGCTATAAGAAAATAAAGCACATCACTGCTAGTACAAAGCCTGGAGCCAATGCATCCAAGGCCTTGGTAATAAAGGGAGCTTTGTCCTGAAATTGAAAATTGAGATTGAGAGATTGAAGTATTCCAGAGCATTGGTTTTGAGGTTTGAGATAGATGGAGTACCAGATACTTAAGATTGAGCGACTACTACTTACCGTATCCGTGACGGAATCCCATTCTCTTTTGGCAACGTACCTGAGCCTATTTGACTATAATGATTTTAATTTTGATTTGATGGAACAAGACAACAAACCAAACGAAACGAATTATGATTGATCGATATATCAAAAGAGGACGGATAATCTAAATGCTTACTCCTGACAAGGCTGGATTCTCCGCACATAGTTTTTTGCGAAATATTTCTTTGCTGTAAAGCGAATCAACGTCAGAAAGAAAAAGAAACACAATGAGAAGTTAACTAAATTACTCTACTCACAGCCACAGTTCCCTGGCCTTATCCATTACAACCCTGTTCGTCATCCAATCTCGCCAGGTTTTCCTGTTTCACAAAATCCAAATCCATATCAATAACTAAGAACCAAATCCATATTAATTAATTAATTAAAAACATTTCTTACTCGTTGATCTCTCCAGATTCAGACTTTGATTCTGATGCGCCCTACTTGTCAGCTTTCTTAGCTTGTGATCTGGTGGTTACAACCATTCCTAATCGAAACCGGAATTCAGATTAAGCTTCTTTTATTTGAGACAGAAATGGATACGATTTACAAGTATTAGGGTTCTGGATTTGAATTACATATAATACTACTTGTACAATTCAGTAAAACAGAAACAAAAGTTTCAAAATTACCACATCAATTCAAACCAAGAACAAGAATATAAACCATCGAAGTGAAATAAATTTGAACAAAATCTAAACAACAACAAAGAAAACAGTTTAAAGAGAAAATATGATAAATTTAATGATAGATCGATAGGATATACTTGTGTTGGAATGTCCGCTTGGGATCCAATTACAGAGAAGACGGAGGAGACGATGATCTGCGCTTAGATTTAAAACGATTGGGAGTTGCGTTTTTAAATCTCAGAGGCTTCGATTTATTTTAATGGCTACGGCTACTTGGGCTAATTGACAGACATTTGGGTTAATACAAAAATGGTTCCAACTTCCAAGTTTGACTATTTTGGTTCTCCAACTTCAAAGTTTGACTATAATAGAAAAAACTTTTTTAATTTAAAACACCAAAATGTCTTTAAAAATTATGATGGTAAGTTATTAGATTCAGGATGAGATTGTATTTCATGGATCTTATTCTTGAAACTTTGATTTAGACTTGTAAATCATGTGCATTATGCAACCAATGAGAAAAAATTGAGGATGAGAGAAATGTAAAATCAAAAGAGGATGTACGTTGATGGTGCACTGTGGTTTATAAAAGAGTTCCCATAGATTCTAGGATTAATCCCTCGTTAAAAAATTATTATTCAAATATTTTATTTATTTTTATCATGAATCTTTGTTGTTCTTCTCCACGCAGTCTCGAAACAAACGAGTACGCGATGTGGCTCTTCCGAGCATACGGAAATAATCCATCGTTGTTCGAAGCGTACAGGAATAATGTCTTTGTTGGAAACGCAAACATCGTGATCCTCGATGACCCGGAGTTAGTTCCGGAGACTCAGCCGGAAGCAATTGCACCAACATGAATCCAAAAAAAGTATGTGCCGGAAAAGTCACAAAGCGAAAGGAGACAAACCGATGACCGAGGCGGCACGGTCAATTCAAAAGTGGACGTCGGATGAAGAATCCTTGTTGGCGTTGGCTGGGGTTGACGTCTCCGAGCATCCTATCGTTGGTAAAATTTATTTTTTTAAAATATATTTGTATTCTTATTTATATATTTGTGTTAAAATACTTTTTTTTCGTTCAGTTATGTACTTTTTAAAGGTTTCAAGCAAATGAAGGATGCGATGTGGATCGTATCGAGGAGAAATTCTTTGCTGCGATGAACAAAGACGTCTCGTACCGTACCCGAAACCAACTCACTTCCAAATGGGCCACAACAATCGTAAATTCTGAAACTTTATTGGAGTTTATGAAGAATGCTCTCAGTCTCGGAAGAGCGGGATGAACGATGTCACTGTTCTGCGGCAAGCCACTGCCCGGTATCAAGACAACGGGCACCAAGGCAAGTTCCCGTCGATCTTTGGAGAATTTTAATTCTTTCACTAATGTGGCAACAACTCAACAATCCCAAGGCTGGTTCCTTAAAGAAAAGATCCTCCGCCGAGGTTGAGGTCAATGGCACATTCGGTTCGTCCGAACAAAGGCCTCCCTTCAACGTAGACGATTCTAATGACGAGGATCTCATTCCACGACTGATTGGGAAAAAAAGAAAAAATTCATTGCGTTGGTTCTTGAGGGTCTAGCTTTGTTTTCTCTCACGACGATATCGGTCGAGCAATGATGGAACAACTTCGGATGTTCAATATTAGAAAAGGAGGGAGAAACGAAGGCAGTTGAAGAAAGAAATTGAAATAATGGAAACCAACCTTGATATATTATCAAACTTCAAACGTATGCTTTACGAGAGAAGCCAAAAAGAAATCAAGACTAAATATAATTTACCTTAGTTTTTTATTAATGTATTTCTTATTAATTTTTCTTTTTTATTGAATATAATTTTTATGAATTATTGTCTTTTAAAATTCCGAATATCGTTTTAATTTTTTTATTTAATGAATGTAATTTTTTGTGAATTATTCTTTTTTCAATACAATTAAATAATTAAATTTTATTTATTTAATTTTAGAAAATATGTATTGAAAATATAAAACATAAAGGTCTAAAGCCCCAGTTTCAAGCCTCGGAGTATCTATGACCAGCAACATACACAAGGGACACATAATTAATTAATGTATACATACAAGAGTTGCGATTATGGGAATTGGGCAAAAATATTTATAAAAAAACCAGAAAATGAAAAGAGCTTGAGTGCAAAAAAAATATTTCACTGATTTTCGTATCTAGAAAACGAACCAATAAGAACTTCGTTTTGACAACTAAAACATGTAAGATAAGAGTCGAGCCTTATAAGTCTCGTTGTGTTGAAGATACTCGAAAACCTCATCGCTATCAGCCTCCCTTTTCTTGCCCTCGGCAAAATACGCAGCTCTGGCCTGAAAGAGAATAAAACTAGACATATGACCGAAACTTGCAGCATTTTTATCCAAGTGTTAGCTTTCGACGAAAGTACTTACACCCTCATCCAAAGAAGCCCATGTCCTGCTTGCAGCGTCCCTGACCTCCTCTGTCTTTGATCACAAGTCAAGAAATTAAAAACCTGATTTGATGCTAAGAAGAGAAGGTTGTGTCGGAAAAAGGGACGGGGCTTACTAGTTTGTAGTCTGAATGAGTCATAAAGTGATTCTCGTAGAAGTCTTCCCTGGTGATGTATATTACACAAGAAATGTATATGATCAAAGTCAAAACCTACGACTCACTGGCGTGGCGGAAGAAGAAAGGTTCGAGTAAAACAAATATTACCTGAAACTGGCACAAGCATGACAGTATTCTGACTCACTTGTTTGCTTGCTTGTTTTTCTCACAACTTTCATAGTGAGTGCCCCCTGCACACAAACAAAAATGTGAGGTTTGATATGGAAAATGAGTGGTTGGAGAAAGCAACGGATCCAAAATCGTTATGGTGGTGAAGGGTTAGGGTCGGGTGTGTGCAATCGCCCAGGAATAACCAACAATACATTCATAGTAGGAGTATGTATATTGGCCCATCCAAGTATTTGATCTCAAATCAACTTGTAAAAAGGTTATAAATTCCTATCCTAGCATGAACTGAGCAATGATAAAAAAGAAGGTTCATTTACAAGTCATACTCACAGGAGACCATGAAAGCATTTCACAACTAGTTTGATTCAAGAAGAACAGAATACACTAGACTGGACAAAAACAACTATAGCAACTTAAAACATATGAGTACATACATGTATAAATTATTTGAGAGGAGAGGAGACAATGTGGGTGACATTCTGGTAACTGGGACTGAAGAATGTGAAACTTGAGGTGAGGTGGACGTTGAGAACAAATTGTACATGTCATTGTTTAGTAAGGGATGGAAATAAATGAAAGATTGGTTTAAAACATTACAAGATTACGTTTTGTTTAATCCGAATCATTTTATATTTCATTAAGTGTGCTTATGTCATTTCACTTAAAAACTAAATCCCAACACCAAAAAACCATCTCTTCCCATGGGAAATCCATTCACCCCAAATGTCAAACCCTCCTAACAAACATTGGAGAAAGTAAAAAAAGGCAAATATAATATCCCACTCATAATTTCCCACAAAACAAACACTCTTCAAAGGCGAGCCCTACACAGAAACAACCAATATAAGTATAGTAAAGTAGAATACAGTGTAGGCTATAAGAAAATAAAGCACATTACCGCTAGTACAGGACCTGGAGCCAATGCATCCAAGGCCTTGGTAATAAAGGGAGCTTTCTCCTGAAATTGAAATTCGAGATTGAGAAATTGAAGTGTTCGAGAGTATTGGGTTTGGGGTTTGAGATAGATGGAGTACTAGATACTTAAGATTGATTGAGTATTACTTACAGTATCAGCAATGGAATCCCATTCTCTTCTTGCAACGTATCTGAGCTTATGTGTCTATTATGTTTTTTATTTTGATTTCATGGAACAAGACAACAAACCAAACAAAACGAATTATGAGTGATCAAAATATTGAAGACGATAGATAATGTAAACTAAAAGTGGTTTGGACTACTTACTCTTAACAAGGCTGGATTCTCCGCGCGTTGTTTTTCACAGAAGATTTCTTGGCTGTAAAGTAAAACAACGTCAGAAAGAAAAAGAAACACAATGAGAAGTTAACTAAATTACTCTACTCACATCCAAAGTTCCCTGGCCTTATGCATTACAGTCCAGTTCGTCATCCAGTCTCGCCATGTTTTCCTGCTTCACAAAATCCAAATCCATATCAATAACTAAGAATTTACTTATTAATGAATGAATTAATTAAAAACACTTCGTACCCGTTAATCTCTCCAGATTCAAACTTTGATTCTGATACGCCCAACTTCTCAGCTTTCTTGGCTTGGGATCTGGTGGTTACAACCATTCTTAATCGAAATTGAAATTCAGATTAAGCTTCTTTTGTTGGAGAGGCAGAGAAGACAGAAAATATCAGTATTAGGGTTCTGAATTTGAATTACATAAAAGACTACTTGTACAATCGAGTAAAAGAAAACCAAAAGATTCAAAATTACCACATCAAATCAAACCAAGAACAAGAATAAATCGTCTATGTAAAATAAATCTGAACAAAATCTAAACAAGAACACAGGAAACAGTTTATAGAGAAAATATGAACAATCGAACAAGAATAAAGCAAATATGATGATAGATTGATAGGATATACTTGTGTTGGAATGTGGGCTTGGGATCGACGCCCAGAGAAGATGGAGAAGACGATCTGTTCTTCGATTTAAACCCTTGGGAAATGGGAGTTGCGTTTAATTGTTTAATTCTCAAAAGGCTTTAATTTATTTTAATGGCTACGGCTACTTGGGTTGATTGACCCACATTTGGGTTAATACCAAAATAGTCCCTTCACTACGCTCTATTTACTAATTTGGTCCTCGATTATGTTGACCTATCAATTTCCTTCATCGATTTTTCTGAGTTTGACTATTTTTGTTTTCAAACCGTTGTCTAGATTTCCTTTTGCAATTTTTCTAGAGCGTTTTGGTTTTCGACAAGTACAAAACAAAGTTCAATCACCTTTTTTAGAACTAGATGGAAATAATGTATTTACTAGTTGTTTCAAAAGTAACTAAAATAAGAATGTTTTTGAACTATAAATATGATTTTCCTATGATCGCAGCTATGCTTGTCACCTGCAGGCGTCAATGAAATTCAGCTACACTGCGTTTTGTATGGGTACAACCTCGCTTTTTCACGAATACTTTTAGCTAGTATCGTAGATTCATATTATCCCTCTGACTCTTTCATTTTTTTGAAGTACTGAATCTCAGAATGATGGGATAATCTGTGTACTTTAATGCCTTGCCAGATGACCTTTAAGAAAGACAGGTTGGCATATTAAGGACCTTTTTTTTCGTGTTTGAAGTGCAGGTTAAGGACCCTTAATCTGCAAAGAATTGTAAGGTAAGGAAATAAACATAGGAGAAGTTAATGCAAGAATGTCCTGCAAGATGATGTACTTCAATAATCATTCCATACTTTCTCAAATCAAATTTATCCCACTTCGACAAAATGTATGTTTCAATTACCCAACGAGGCCAAAGAGTTGAATACGCGAGGATTTCTAAGATAAGTCCCCAGTCACTAGTCAATAGTAACAAGTTTGATAGAGAGATTCTATGATCCACAATCGAGTGAGATTCGTTTCGATTCAGGAACATGTTGTTTTGTTCACAACCACAATAAAGGAAATTACAACCTATGGAAAGGATTTCTATGCAAGAGATCATAGTTGCAGCCATGTTTGCAAACGCTTTAGAGTTCATCAGTGACAAGCCTCAGGTTTCATACACTAGGCTGATATTGTTGAACTATATTAAGTCTAGTAAACATTGTTCATTAATATTAATTTAGAAACTTGATGCTTTGAAATTTAAGTATGCAAGCTTTTGATCCCAATTTAAGTTATCTATTTTTCTTTTTAGTCTATCTCAAAATAAATTACATGTTTTCTTTTAAAGTAAGTTTTTTGGATAAATTGCCTAAATTACCCCTAATTTATTTACTAGTCTGTCTTCCCAAATCGCATCTGCAAATTATACGTACAACCGGCTATTAGATCGAAGGAATAAGGGTGAACTGGCGACAAAGGGGAGATCGGCAATTGGATTGAAGGAGATGCATCGATCGAAGGGGAGGCCGACTCAAAACCGACGGTAACGATTGACGGTGGTGGATGGAGATGTCTCCTCGAGATTTGGAGCAGTGAACATAAATGGGATGATGTGATTTAGACGAAGACTCTTGAGGTTGAGGTGGGTATGTTGAATTAGGCTAGTTATATTTTCCAAATATGAAGGATATATTATATTAGTACTTAAAATTGAACACTACTTTGTTTAAGAGTAAACATTATGTTGATCGTTAATGAATGTTATAATTTTAATATAACAAAATAAACATTATACTCTTTCAAAATGAATATTTCTTTTGAATTCGTTCTTCAAGTATGTACTAATCCCTGATTTTATATGATTTTGCCGATAAATTCTTAGATATGTTTCTTTCATCTCCAGTTTTTTGGTTGAAAATTTTTGGTTTTAAGTTTTCTCATACCTAAAAGAAAATCATCTATTTTTTTGACATGCATCTCTGTTTTTTTTATTAAGAAATGAAAGAAATATGTGACAAACTTTAATGTGTTCCTTATATCCTGGCAACATGAGTATGAATCTACTATATATCTTATTAGGATTGAATAACCTTTTTTCTAAGATCTTTAAAACTGATTTATTGTTTGGAAGGTATATTTATTATTTAGGATCGCACTTTGGTTGTTTTTTTGCTTTGATTCTTAATCTACTTTGAAATTTCGTTTTCAATCTACTCTATTATTTGTTAAAAATGGGATGCACATTTGTTCATGAAAAAGTTCAAATTATAAAGAGGGTGTATATTTGTTTGAAAATGAAAATAAAATTAACATATCTAATATGAAAAATTATCAGAATAAAACAATTATTGTCAGTGGTGAATTTATGAACAGACAAAAGATGGATGTTTAAGGTAGGGATATGGAGTAGGTTAAATATAGGTTAAATAAAGGTAGGGATAAAGGTACCTGTGGGTGTGGTAACCTGACCTGAGCCAATATGAGCAATTGGTAGAGACTGTCCCCAACGGTGGAGACAAAATTGGTGCCTTGACCCCACTGTTGCGGCCTGCTCCTCTGCCACTGCCGGACCGTCCACGGCCACGCCCATGTGGCGGAAAAGAGCCTCCATTGGAAGCATAAAGTGATGTGTGAACCTCCGTTGAAGAACTAGAGGATGTACCAAGATGAAGTTTCTGTTCAAGCTGAATATTGATGAGTTCTTCAAACAAAAGCCAGGCGGAGATAGTGTTAAGAGTGACTGTAGCAATGTTCGTCTGAATATTTTGTTTAAGAGAAGCATATTCAGACGGGAGACCACGCAAGATAGAGAGTACAACATCTTGTTCCGAGACAAGTTCGCGAGCAAGGGCAAGAGAATTGACAATTTGCAACACTTCATCATGATATTTTTGCATGCTAGATTGTCCTTTTTGTAGATTAAGAAGTTGTTCCTTGAGTTGAAATATATGAGTCCAGGATAGTGAATTATACCTCTGATGTAGAGATTCCAGATTTCAGCCACAGTGGTGCAGTGATATACAAGATTTTGGACAGCCGGGGAGAGGAGCGCTAGAAGAGAAGCACATAGCTGAGCATCAACGGGGATTTTTTAAAGAAGAGTCATAGATACCAAGTACTGAGTACATGAACTTAAAATTGAAACTTTAATGTGTGATTCAACTTTAAATATTATTTGTAAATCATAAAAATAATCCAACTTTTAAATGCCAATTTTTTTTAAATGTAATCAATAAAAATTGACATTTTGCATTTGTTTTTTAATGTATTTGTTCCTAATTCCCAACACAATGTGCGGAGTAATTGCTCAAACAGGTATCTTATTTGGACTCGGGTCCCATTAAAACTACCCCACATGTTACGATGTTGGACTAAAGTTATTTTTAATTCAATTTCATAGTTAAAACAAGATGCCGCTGACTGTTGTATTTTATAAAAATGTTGACGGATGAAAGATAAGCTGCTTTGACCAGTAACAAGCATGATTAAAATGGAAGAGAAGGAGCATTAAAGAAGAGTAAGCCACACAACCAAACTAATTCATTTTTATCCTACTTTGAAACTCATCAATTTTCGGCAAAGGAAATCTACCTTACTCGGGTATTTTAAAGAATAGAGAATTTAATTAACTATATTCATGTAAACCTAATGCAAAAACATGGATGAAATTATTATTGTTTCATTCATGAAATATCAAATTATTTTTCATCTTTAAAGAAAGAATTTCATATGCAAACATTAAAATTTACTCCCTAATAAAATAAAGATTTGTAATCAGTATTAACTTCAATGATGAGCCACAACACTAGTTAATGAGAGAGAGTGAAGGCATTATTAAGAAAAGCAAACCCTCTAGTAAATATTTGTAAGACAGTTATTTTGTTTCCTACCTGGCCAAGAATCAACCAGAATAATTCAATCACAATCGATGATTGTGTTCAGAGAGTGAGCAATAACGAGCATTGTGCACGATTTAAATTCTTCTCTTATGGTTTTCCGTATCAGTGCATCTGTTCTAACACCAACGGCAGCAGTTACTTCAACAAGGACTAGATAAGCATCATATTTTGATAATTAAACGAATCATGTTACAGAAGTTCATTAGTGAAAATTGTGAGAGGACTTAGCCCGTCGGTTTCCAATTAAGAGACTTCTTTCAAGCTACAAAGAATGTTACATACTGTTGCATTAAAAACCCAAGAATGTCCAAATTGATATCCTGACAAAATCGGTTTCTCTTCCGTCCAATTTGAGGGAAAACATAATTTAGAATATCCAGCTCATGTGTAACTTTAGCATTCCATGAGTACATAAACTTCAACAACCAAATCGAGGTTATTTGAAACATACAATACAATACCTTGTAATAACATTCTATGAACACATAAACATCAACAACCATCAAGAATCAAGATTAATGGAAACATACATTACAATACCTTGTAACTATGCCCTTAATTCTAATCCCAATTTAGGAATACAAAATTTATACAAACGAGGCACACCGTCTCATAATGTCATTTCCAGGTGCAACATGTAAAGGAAACAAGCACTTCGACTTCAGTGCCAAACCAAACCTTCTTATTAATCAGAGAAGGGAGCAAGCAAAGGCTGGTGGCTTTGAATGTATGTGTTGATCTTAATACGATATGAGAATAGAAGGACAATCCATTAACATTTAAGTGTAGAGTGTACATTATTTTCTTTACCCTTGTGGATGTATAAAATAGTAAATTTTGAAAAAAAAATCAATTCAAATCTTCAGAACTGAGTATTAAGAAGAAATCATTCTTTATAAGGTAATTATAGCTAAACACTGAAATACTAAATTATCTAGAACTCTCACCTGAAATAATAAAATACTTGATTATAATCAAACAAACTTACCTTTGATTCCCACAAAAAACTGTCATTCATAATCATTTACTAGTATAAGCATAGCTAATCATACAATTTTTTTAAAGAAAATAATATATAGAAAAAGTTGCACGTTAACAAGATAGGAAATTCTAATAACAAGAACTCTTCATCTCCTGTATAACTTCACCACGAACCATTCTGAACTCTGTAAACAAACAAAAAAAGTAAATGTTAATACAATAAAACTAAATAATAACATATTTAAAAATTTGAACTAACCATAAATGGTATATCTTCGTTTTCCATCTGTTCATAATCCTCAGGAAACAAGTGGTATTCATCTAGGGATAGTTTCATTAACCAGGGAGATTGAACTCGAGGCCTTCCTGAGCTAGTATCCATAATCTCGTGTAGATGATAATTTTTTTTGTGCCAATATGCATTCGATTATTGTTATATACATTTTTAATGGTTGTATTTTCCACCCAAACACTAGAAAGAACATTGGATGAAACACAAAACTGAGTCCTATCTATAATTTGTTTGGTGGGATCCGGAAACCAGTGATGAAAGAAAAAAAAGGGGGAGATTGTTTCAGATCAGACATAGTAATATTATAATGTCTGCAAACAGTGCTAAGAGGGTGGCACGTAAAATCAAAAGGTCTGATGTTATGTGCATTAACATCAAGCATCATATTATTAACATAACCTCTAAGAAGATGTAAAAGGTTTGTAGGACTTTGATTAAACGAAATCAGAAAAGGATATTCGTTGAAGTGAGGAATCTTATTAATATCTGGCGGGATTGGAGGATTTGTAGGGAGGGGAAGATGTGGCATATACTCCACCTGACATTTTAGTGAAAAACAAAAAACAAGCTAAACCAACATATATAATAAGAGATAACTCCAAATGTATATTTTCTAAACAATAAACACATTATCAAACACAAGATTGACCTAGATTGATAATGTGTTTATTGTTTAGAAATATATATTTGGAGTTAATCTCTTATTATATATGTTGATTTTGCTTGTTTTTTGTTTTTCACTAAAATGTCAGATGGAGTATATGCCACATCTTCCCCTCCCTACAAATTCTCCAATCTCGCCAGATATTAATGAGATTCCCCACTTCAACGAATATCCTTTTCTGATTCCGTTTGATCAAAGTCCTACAAACCTTCTACATCTTCTTAGAGGTTATGTACTATGTTAATAATATGATGCTCGATGTTAATGCACATAACATCAGACATTTTGATTTTACGTGCCACCCTCTTAGCACTGTTTGCACACATTATAATATTACTATGTTTGATCTGAAACAATCTCCCCTTTTTTCCTTTCATCACTAGCTTCTGCATCCCACCAAACAAATTATAGATAGGACTCAGTTTTGTGTTTCATCCAATGTTCTTTCTAGTATTTGGGTGGAAAATACAATCATTACAAATGTATATAACAATAACTGAATGCACATTGTCACAAAAAAAATTATCATCTACACGAGATTAGGGATACAAGCCTAGGAAGGCCTCTACGAGTTCAATCTTCCTGATCAATGAAATTATCCCTAGATGAATACCACTTGCTTCCTGAGGATTATGAACAGATGGAAAATGAAGATATACCATTTATGGTTAGTTCAATTTTTTAAATATGTTCTTATTTAGTTTTATTTTATTATATTAACATTTACTTTTTTTGTTTTTGTTTGTTTACAAAGTTCAGAATAGTCCATGGTGAAGTTATACAGGAGATGAAGGTTTCTTGTTATTAGAATTTCCTATCTTGTTAATGTGCAACTTTTCTATATATTATTATCTTTTAAAAAAATTATATGATTAGTTATGCTTATACTAGTAAATGATTATGAATGACAGCTTTTTGTGGAAATCAAAGGTAAGTTTGTTTGATTATAATCAAGTGTTTTATTATTTCGGATGAGACTTCCTAGATAATTTAGTATTTCAGTGTTTAGCTAGAATTACCTTATAAAGAATGATTTCTTCTTGATACTTAGTTCCTAAAGATTTGAACTAATTTTTTTCAAAATTTACTATTTTATACATTCACAATGGTAAAGAAAATAATGTAAACTCCACACTCAAATGTTAATGGATTGTCCTTCCATTCTCATATCGTATAAACATCAACACATACATTCAAAGTCACCAGCCTTTGCTTGCTCTCTTCTCTGATTAATTGCTCCTTCAACGATACATTTTTCATTTTAAAAGATTAATAAGAAGGTTTGGTTTGACACTGAAGTCGAAGTGCTTGTTTCCTTTACATGTTGCACCTGGAAATGACATTATGAGACGGTGTGCCTCGCTTGTATAAATTTTGTATTTCTAAATTGGGATTAGAATCAGGGCATAGTTACAAGGTATTGTATTTATTGTATGTTTCCATTAATCTTGATGGTTCTTGATGTTTATGTGCTCATAGAATGCTATTACAAGGTGTTGTATTGTATGTTTCAATTAACTTTGATGGTTGTTGAAGTTTATGTGCTCATGGAATGCTAAAGTTACACATGAGCTGTATATTTTAAACTATGTTTTCTCTCAAATTGACAGGCAGAGAAACCGATTTTGTCAGGATATCAATTTGGACATTCTAATTGGTAGCTTAGTTGGTGGTACTGGAGTAGGAAAGACATCACTCATCTCAGCAATGCTTGGGGAGATTTCATCTGTTACAGATTCAAATGTTGTAATTAGAGGAACTGTGGCTTATATACCACATTAATCTTGTGTTTTTAATGCAAGAGCATGTAACGTCCTTTGTAGTTTGAAAGAAGTCTCTTAATTGGAAACCGACGGGCGAAGTCCTCTCACAAGTTTCACTAATGAACTTTTGTGACATGATTCGTTTAATTATCACAATATTAGAAGGCCAATGAATAAATGTGTTCACCGTTTCATACTAAATCTATCTTCCTTGGAAATTGTGCTCTCGACAGAACAGATTACGAGAAGAAGAGAGATTCACACAGTCTATTTGGTCCTAACAAACATATGAACGGATTAATGCAATTACCAGCTCCAACACATAATTTTATGCCCAGGTTTACAACTTAAACCAAGGCATATGCAACAACACAAGTGGCAGATCTCAAATAAAACAGCTCAAAATCGAAGTCTCAAACAAAATGATACGGTATCAACTCAGATCTGAAGCAGTCGACCGAAACCATTTGATATTCCAAAATCGAGATTCACAAATAGGCGATTAAACTTCTAAAACTCAGAATCCAAACTGTTAAGGTATGAACGTACGAGCGAGAGTTTGTTTATACCTACAAAAGCAGAGACTATCGAGCTTCGGATGTGATCGGATGAGTGATGCACGTCGGATTGAAGCGACTGTCGTCCTCTCTCCATTAGTATGTTTCACGCTCTTTCACTCGCCGGGAGTCGTCGGCCGGCGATGATCGGAAACGTCACGGACTACAACCCTTAGGGCTTAGTCTCTCGCTCTAACGGGAATTAATTTGGGTGGTTTCCCTCACATGGAAAAAAACCAAAATAAAATTCCTAAAACCCACCATCTAATTCCTCAGGCACACTTTCGCATTCCATAAGTGCGAAATGTGCTTTTTTGCTCTGACATGATCAGCACAAGTGGGAGTAGTTTATTTACTCCTCTTTGAGTATTTATCTATTTTTGATTTCTTTTGGTTAAAATTACTAAATTTTAACCTCAAATTAAATAAAAATAATATTAGATATTGATATAAAATTAATTTTATTAAATTCATTATATCAAATACTTTCAAAATATTATTTTATCTAATTAATATAAAATATATATTTTATTTAATTGTAGGTCAAATGTTGAAAGTAGTTGACCGAAAAAAATCAAACTAGAAAAATACTCAAGGACTGAGGTAGTATTATTTTTATACTCGCGTCCCTAAAATGTTTACACAGTATGACTTTTTTAGTCAAACTGTGGCACCCTTTGACAACGAATTAAATACTTTTTAGTCACGATTTCTATTTAATTGAAACTCAAAACTTATCTAGTTTGATTTGAAAAGGTCAAACTAGAAAATACATTGAAACGGAAGGAGTATAATTTTGACATTATGTCTCACTTATATTTTTAGGTTAGAATTATATTTAAAATATATTTTTCATCAAAGAGAATCATAATCGTAAAAGAATAATAATTATGTTAACAATAAAATAATGAAAGTAAATAATAACATCGTGTTTCCTATTTTGGACAACGTTGCTTGATGATATGGAGTTCAAAATAATGAAATTTCGAATGTGCAAATCCATACATTCAACCCAATCCACAATTATCTACAGAATTAACCATCCAGCCCAATCCACCATTAAACATTCAAATATTAGGGAGCCAATGCCACCATTAACAATTATGGTAACAATAAAATAAGGAAAGTAAATAATACTCCCCCGTCCCAATTCCATCTTCCCACATTGACTATATGTCATTTTTAAAGGAGTGTAAAATATGCATTGACTTTTCCGAAATGCCCCTAAAGTCTTCCATTTCACCCAACATTGCAGATCTAAAAACACTCGCAATGTATAAATTTGGTAATCGTAAAATTTAAAACATTTCAAACACTTTTATTTATCACAATAATATTTTTCATAATAGAAACAGTACGAAGTTTTCAATGTTACGAAAACTTAACAAATCACAATCACAAAACATAATTAATTATGTATTTTGAAATAATAATTTAAAATCATCACACTAAAAATTTAAGAACTAAATTTATAATAATCCCTCATTCCAACAATTTCTTTCCCTTTTGTATTAGTATTGAGAACAAGAAAAGTTAAAAAATGTAAAAGCCTTCCATGTTTGTATTTAATATGATGTGATATAGTAGTGTAGATGAAAAGTAGAGATATATTAGCACACTCATTAAAAGTTTTTAATCAAAATAATAAACGAAAAAAGAATTGTATATGCCATAAAAAGGAAAGTAAGAAATAAATTAATGGACTAAGGAGTAATAAAGAAAATGTTATGTATCACCTTTTTTACTATCCGGACATACAAAAATTTAAGAAATGAAATTTAAAAAAAATATATTTTACTAGCTGGGTTTTAATGAAACAACATCTCTTCTTTTTAGTAAGGATAAGGTCTATGCACGCACTCTCCCTGGCCCAACTTTCGCGGGATTGAATCGAGTAGTTATTCTTCATTTTTAAAATAACATTGGGTTAAAAAATACAAGTATTTCGCAAAATTCTTGTTTTAAAATGAGGAAAATAAACATTAGATTATAATATTCGACTTAAAAAATAAATAAAAAATATTTAAAATTTTATATGCACAATTGGTCTCGTTAGATAGAACTCGATGAGAGGTATTCAACAGTATAATTTTTATCAAATAATAATTTGTGTATAAAAAATTACAAGTAAAATAGATTTTGTAGAAGAAAAATTAAAAAAAAAGACAAATATTTTAAAATAATGGGTGCAGTTTTTTTTTTGACAGAAATAATGGGTGCAGTTAAAAGTATGGAAAGTGGCGCAGGTTTGATCAGAATTTTCGTATGTATGCCATGCGAAATTCCAAGTGAGGAAAATACTTTGACGCCCCGTTTGGTACACGGAATTCAAACTATGGAATTGGAATTGAGTGCTTCAATTCCAATTCTGGTGCTTGGTAGCACAAAAATTATGTGGATTTGGAATTGATAGTGAAAAAAATGAATTGGAATTGGCAGAATTCAATTCTATGGAATTGAATCCCATGAAATTTCAATTCCAATTCCATCAATTCCGTATACCAAACGGACCTTGAAAAATTTTCCCACTTAGGGAATTCCTCCAATTAATTTTCTAACGGTGAAGCTTTTCAGAGTTTCGTGTCAGTGCATTAAAAAAAATGCTAGGGTACACCAAAGGTGTACTCATTTGTCCCCCACCCCCTCCTTTAACACAAAAATGGGCAAGAAATTAAAAAAAATTAAATAAATAAAAATAGGATTAAAATGAGTAATAGAGAAAGGAGTGGGGGACAAATGGGATACACCAAATGGTGTACCCCTAGCATGGTCCTAAAAAAAATTTAGATGATGAACCGTATTTTTGTTGTACGGTTGTACCTACGGATGCCCAATTGAAAATATAAATCACTCCATCCGTCCCAAATTATTTGCCACATTTGTATTCTTGAGGACAAATATCAAGTTTTTTCAATTCATTTTATTTACATATTAGTATAGAAATAAAAAAAATTATATATAAAATTTTAAGAATAAAATTATTTGTACCTCAAGGATTTTGTACTCCATTTGTACACAGCAGGTGTGCACCAATATTTTGTGTTGGTGTCATACTAATTTTTGTTACCAATATTTTGTGTCAGTGTAAATTTTTGTTAACATACCAACACTTTGTGTTACTGTAACTCATCAAAATGTTGGTGTATACTTTTGGTGTAAGTTTGGAATACAATTTTTGGTGTAAATGAAGTATGGTCCAAATTGTAAACTCAAATTTAATATTCAATGTATATCGTATTCATTTTCTTTAAACTTTTTTGTTCTATTATTTAATATAAGCTTTTAGCCAAAATTAAATTTAGATCCCCTATTTATTCTATAAACATTTGTATACTTATCATTATATCTCATTTGAGTTCAAAGAGGTAAAAAGAGTCAAACTAGGATGATATTTTTGGAAAAAACTACTAAAATAGGACAACTAAAATAGAACTAAAACAAAGTTGAGACATTTTAAAAAAATTTATGCATGTAATTTATTTAGACTTTTTAAATTTAAATATTGTGGAGTTTTAAGTTTTTACATCTAACTTTTAAATTTACTCTTGCAGCTAACTCATCTAGCTTTTCTCACATACTACACCTAACTTAACTCAAATCATGCACCTAACCTAACTTAACTTTTCTCAACTACTAAACAAAATTCTGCACCTAACTCAAATCCCACCTTACTTTACTCAACTACCACACATCCTCAATAACTCAATACTATAAATTTGTGGCAGAAAATAATAATCTCAATACACAACTACAAATCTCACAAATCTTTTTCACGTTTCAAAGAAATGGACTCTCATTCTAGCTTTATCCTTCTAGCCCATTGGAATGGTGAGTTCAAAATTGTAGACAATAAGGTGGAGTACTCATTGCAAGCAAACAAGACATTCATCTTTGATCTTAAAGTTTCATTTGAACAAGTCTTCAATGAATTCCTCATTGTTGTTGGAGAAGATGGTTTTAATTCCATCAAGAAAATTTGGGGGAAATATCCCAAATACAAGGATGAAGTATATGTTGCCTCACGCCCTTTCCCAATTTTCGAAGAGCGGACTTGGATGTGCTTTATTCAAAAGGTCACCAATCAATATGATGAGCTTGAGGTGTACTTAGAGCCACAACGAGTTCAAGAAGAGCTTCACGAGGATGACATAGAGGAAGAAGCAGGGCCATCTAACACCGCATTAGGTGTGGATGATGAAAATGACCCTGATGATCCAACTTACATTGGTAATTCTGACGATGGGAGTAGTTCTTCAGGTGAGTCAGAAGTATCTAAATGTGTCTCTATGTGCATGCCAGATGTGTATATAGAGGAGCCTACGATCGTTCGTAATTTGGTCAAGATTGCACAATCTGTCCATAGGAACGTTGAGTAAGTATCTCTAGATCCTATGTTTCGTGTCTTGGAGATCGAAATTGGCCAAACTTACGCTGACTTTAAAAGCTTTCTATTTGTTGTGTCTCTTCACAATATTGCGGAGCATAGACACTTTCGGACTTCTTCAAAGTGTAAAAGTTACTGGCTAGCAAAGTGCTCATACCCAAAACAGTGCCCATGGCTCATTCAAGCTCCTGAATCATCTTCTCTTTGAACTATAAAAAAATACAAAAGTCAACATTTATGTAGACCTGATTATTCCAAAGAGAAGGATGACAAGCTTATCACAAACAAACTCATTTCTGAAATTATTTTTTCCAAAATTGCAGCTGATGCAGATTACAAGGTGAAGTACATTGTTAAAGTTGTATTCAACTTATTTCGAGTAGATGTAACGTACAAGAAATATTGATTGGCCAAGTCTATTGCAAGTCTTTATTTGGGTTTGATTTAGTGATGAGTAATTGTGAGCCTTAGGATGATAAATAGTGGAGATAAATGGTTTGGATGGAAAGGGGCGGCCAATAAAACTAAACGGGAGTTTCATTAAAACCCCAAAGTTTAATAAATTATTCTTATAACATGAATAGGGCAAACAAAATCAGGTTTACACTTTGGGCGAATATATCGAATAGTCTAATGAGCACATTGGCGAAGGCAAGAAGGATCCTATAAAATAGTATGGTTTTGCCAAGCCAAACACTAAAACACTACAACAATTCGCTAAAAAACTACTCTGTATTAACGTTGTGTGACACTTTAGATACACGCCATATGCTTATTGTTATCATTTTGGTTGACAAAATTGCTTTTTTCAAGATTATGATTAAGAATACAACAGCCCGGTTTGGAAATAGCGTTAGAAGTTAGCGTTATCGTTTTAAAAGGATTGTATACGAATAATTTTTAGCGTTTGCATTTTACAAGTTAATATGTATCCTTAAACTTTTATCCAAAACATAAACGCTAATCTAAAACACTATTCCCAAACTGGCCCCACAAGTGATTAAAGTCGCACCACCAAAGAAACAAGAGCTAAAAATATCAAAAAACAAAAAAACAAAAGAAAATAAGGTTTGATTTGGGATATTGTTTGCGAGTCCTATTTGAAAACCCATTTTTTCGATTCAGTATGATGCAGGTTTGATTCAGAACAATGTTGTGTCAGCAATTTTTGCCAACTCCAATAAAATTTGCACAATCCATCACTCTCCAATTCAATAAATTCCTTGAATCTTTCTTTTTTTTCTCTTTTCTTTTTATTTCCTTTTCTCCGATTCAATTGTAGGGCTTGTTGGAGCGGCTTCACCTCTAATTTCTCTAGATTATATTGGATTGTTGTAGACGAAAAGTGAACACTTTGAGTAAATGTGTGTAGTTTTTGTTGGGGTTATAATATAAGAATGGTTTAGCAATTACAGTAGTACAAAATTCACCAACTATCAAAATTTGAATGCAACATGAAAAGCTCTTCGAGTCAGGACCGATCTCACCCGCAAATAAATCATAGTATAATTTCATCTCGAACACTTACGTTGAGCGTCTTATGTGGAAGAACAATGCTGTTTACAACCACAACCTCGTCCTCAACGCTCACGCCTTCCCCTGTGCATCATTTGGCAAATGACAAAATCACAACTATCATAAACTTTGTTGAGTATCAAGTGAAAGATGAAGAAGGTGGGTGAAGTTAAAGTACCAAGGATTGTAACTCCCAGTTTTGAGTTGTTATCTCCATCTCCCTGTACCCACAAAATAATCACTCTATAAAACCAAAACAAAAAAGCAAAAAAAAAACACGAAAACCAAGTACAACCAAGAAGCACGAATAGTGCATATTTATTGGGGCAACAATATGCAGGGAGTTTTACTTAGACCATAGATGCATTGTTGCATTTACTGCCCAAAACATCATAGAAAGTACGGAGTAAGACGCAAGGTGAAAAAACAAATGCATGGTAGCGGAATCACCTGAACACGGGACCATTTTCCTAGGGATGACTTCCATCCTACAATAGCATGCATGACAACTGCATTATCCTGTCAATGTAAAAAAAAAGGTTAAAAATATGAGGTTCTATGTTTAATGTATAACCATCATCGTCAGTTTTTGAGATGTTTACCATGATTTCAACGTCATCTAAGATTATGCAACTTATTAGCCTTGCCCCAGCAGATACACGAACGTTTGCAGATACTGATACATTTGGTCCAATCTATTCATTTGGAAGCAAGAAAACAATTGCAGGTTCAAATCAAACAAGAATTGCAACTAATGTTCTCACTTTGAGAGAAAATGTCTATTATCATAAGAGTCCATCACTGTTGATTGTTGGAACAATTTCTAAGAGATGATAAAACAAAGATTGTTAGGAATAAGGTTAGGCACGACTCACCCCAAAAACACGTCTCAATAGATAAAGATTGTCTTATATTTATTCATGAGTCCATTCATTCATATTTAGCTTATGTGTGAAATAAATTTTAACTGCCACTCTTCATCGTCGACATCACAATTCTTTATTGTAGGGTCACAATTCTCTCACTAGACACAATAACCAAATTAGCTCTAAAATAAAAATAAAAAAATGGTTTACCTTTGCTGTTGGATGTACTTTTGCAGAGGGGTGAATATAAACATCGCCAACAATTGAAGCACTCTCAGTGCCATCTCCCCGGGCAAGGAGTTCAGGTGAGGTGTAATGGAATTGATTAAGATACAAAGCAGAACATTTCAAAGACATCCTGGAAAGTTGAAGATTTATTGTGGCAGTCTAAGCTATATTTAATAATGCAACCCAAAAACAAAAAAAAAACCAAACTGAATAAGTAAATAACTCTACCCTGGAGTCTTGATCTGTTCCCAGAAGTCCAATGTCTCATACGTGTACAATTTCTGCATTCCAGCAAAAGGTGACAAGATATCTTGATCCAACTTAACAAAATCTCTGCGCAGTGACCTGTGGGAAAAAAAGATCATTTAAATGGATATAAAATCATCATCCCCTAAAGAACTTTACAAGTTTATTCAAACACCCAAAAAAACTAATACTAGTACCCAACCTTGTTTCGGACTGGATTGCTTCAAAGCTAGAGAGATGGTGTAGAGTAGCTGCAATAGAGTTTATTAGTGATTGCATAAATTTCACAAATGATCCTTTATAGTTGGGGATATTCCACATTTCGTCCTCTACTTTATCAAATTCCATTGGACGTCCACTTTAATTGTGAGCATTGCCAATGTTAGTCATCTTTCCATCATACGTACTCAAAATGATACACTAACAAAGGATTATAAGTAGTAATGTTTCAAAATAATAATGACCTTAGTTGGTGTTTAAATGACATAGAAGAAGACTAACACAGGAAAATGTTCACAATTAATGAAGTAACTGTGGAATTTTCCTAATTATAGAGGAATATTTGTGGAATTTACTCTTAGTACTTTGTTTATCGATAATCAACTATATAATTAGTATCATCAACCAACTTATAGGAACAATTATAAAATACAGCAAACCTCTACCTTCCCTGTGTGTGTATACATTCTGGATTGCACTAAAAATTTCTGGTGTAAAAACATAAACACCACAATTGATCAGGTCACTAACCTGCACTTTGTTGTAAGGGGCCATAAAGAAAATGTGTCCATCCAAACATGCAAAAAGGAGAAAAAAAATAAAAACTGGCTATTACAAAATATTTTCTAACAGTAATAGTCATACAAATGTCTCAGGCTTCTCAGTATAATGCAATAGTTCTTTGGTAACTGGATCGGCAATCAACTGACCAAACTGGTTAGCAGATTCAGCAGAGACCTACATATGAAAATAAGAAGCAAACTGAAAACTATGAAAATTCTGTTCATAACTCTTCGAGTCCACTATTAAATTATTTTGTTCATGACTTATGAGTACATAACTTCACCTTACTAACAAGCAAAGTACCCATCCCAGCATACCTTATATGGGCCTCTGCACACAAAAGTGAATGTATATACTAAGCATTTATAGAAAAAGATACAGATTTAGAATTTAACAAGAAACTAATGGATTCCAATTTTGCTAGGACATGAAAGGTAAAGAAGAATGCATAAGCATACCAAGCATGTCTGACAGTGGGAAATTGCAGCATACATCACAGTTCAGCAAAAATATATGGGACTGTCATATGCAAGAAATGAAGCTAGGAAAATTACAATGAGTAAAAAGAGTAATAAAAACAGATATGGGAGTTAACACAGATTATGTATTGTGAAATTATATGTTTCCATAAACTTACTGGAGAGTCTTCCATAATCTGATCTCTAAAGTAGTAAAAACCTCCGGCAGAACCATGAGGCCTCTCTTCTCTCAAGTATCTACACAGGCAGGAACTAAAGGTTAACACAAAATAAATACAAGCATTACTTTGAGATTAACAAGCAACAACAACATTATCCCAGTGCCTCAAAGGCTCCCGCCCATTGTAGGGTAAGGGGGTGATGTACGCAGCCTGACCTAGGGATGGCAACGGGTCGGGTTCGGGTCGGATAGTACTATACCCGAACCCGACCCAACTTTTAAACTGAAACCCAAACCCGACCCGAAACCCGACTTTCTAATCCAAAAACCCGACCCGACCCGAACCCGACTTTTAACCAATAATCAATTCAATGTACCCAATAATTTTAAAAAGATTAAATCTAATTTTTTTTGTGTCTCATTTTTTATTAAGGAATTATAAAAATGTTATAAATGGCATACTTGATATAGTAACACCTTGTCAAGAGATTATATGGAGTGTTCATTATATCTATAGATAGACTTTTATGTTATAAAATATTCGGGTTTGAGTCGGGTCGGGTGCGGGTTCGGGTCGGGTAAAATAATAAACCCACACCAGACCCGACCCGATGTCGGGTTCGGGTAGAAAATTCGGGTCGGGTTCGGATTATTTTATTCTCGGTTCGGGTTCGGATATTTTAGTGGTCAGTCGGGTCGGTTAAGCTCGGGTTCGGGTTGAATTGCCATCCCTAGGCCCTGACCACTATGTTTAAGACATAGAGCAGCTGTCCCCAAATGACACATGATGAGCGTCGAGAGTTGCATTGACTAACTGCTACTTCACTATCAAAAGAAGCAAAAATAGTTTAAAGGGTCATTTTTCTTTATTCCATCTTAATTTGAGATTAACAAATAAGTGAAAATAACCCATCACAATGAGGGCTTTAGAACTTTCAACTCATTATTCTTTTTTACGAAGGCTGCAAGTTGCAACATGAAGGGAATCTAGCGTAAAATGTTGCCACTGTATTCTTTTGCATGAGTTTATAGTGTTAATGAAGTTTATACTACGGAGTATTAATTGTCACTATAAATTTAATGTCACCGACCCCAACTAGTTGGGATCAAGGTGTTGATGATGATAATGGGAAAAGTTGAAATAAAAAAGACCTGGAAAGAATCAATGGTATGTATTATGCCCTAGTCACCTGACAGGAACTTTGAGCTCAGTAGAAATTGAAGACACATATAGTGCAAATTCCCGCTCCTCATAAAATCCAATAAGAAATACTGCTGCTAAATTGGGTATCTAGTAACATGAGAAAAACATATTCAAATGATTCAAATCACACTTCGAAGCATCTCATGCACACATTGGGCACAATACATATACATTAATCTTTTCTTCATCTTTTACAACATCTTAAAGAAAACCATTCTACAACAACTAAGCCTTCATTATGCCAAGTAACCTGAGTTAGAGATGATGAAGGCTCATAAAAAATGAAAGTTTTATGTATGCAATGCCCAACATGGGTATTTTTTTCAAGCTGGACATCGCATACATAAAACTTTCATTTTCTTATAAGCCTCCATTGTCTCTAACTCAATTTACTTGGTATAATGAAGACTTAATTGTTTACTCCATTGTCCATCGTTCATAATCGTCTCACAAAAAAGTTTCACATTTTATGGTATACTCTTTGGCTAGTCCCAGAATTAAATTCCGGTTTAACATTAAGATAAGAATTATGTGGTTTATGTTACTTCTCTTTGATATGGATTAACACTGTTAAGCCTAGAATCATAAATAAAGCATACCCTTTTACAAGCAGAAATATGATGCTGAACCATGGGCAATCCGGCTAAAGGGAACAGTGGTTTCGGAGTGTTGAAAGATAGCGGCCTGAATCGAGTACCTAGGGATTTTCATCTTCAAACAATCAGGGATCCACTAGCTATTTTAAGAGAAAAAAGATAGAGCTGGTGTGACGATTCCAGAAGTTTCGTAGTGATACCTTTTGTAGGCCCGCCCACCATGATCACCGAAACGATCTTCTCCTTTGAGCTCGCCGCCATCTGGTTTTCCCGACGGCGACGGCGCAGTTGCAACGCGCCGCTCGATGTTGAACCGAATCGAACCAGACGACCTTGAGAACCGCCGAATCAAATCGTCAGAGTGGATATATGCCTTTTTTTTCGGATTCGATGATCATATGAATCAAATTTGCAGATTGGATGATCGTGTGATTATACGAATCGCAACTGACGATCTGTGCGTTGAGTTGCCGTATCTAATTTTGTATTTCCCCAGATTCTACCGCCAAAATGCACACGTATTCCCTCCGTCCCCTTTATTGTTTCATTTTTGCTCTTCCCATAAAACACTTCTAACGACATCTAAAATGCCTGAAATTTACAAAATTTCTTCTTTATTATGGGTAGAAGTTATTTTGAAAGTTTTTTGGCAATCAAGAAGGGATAGAAGTCTTTTATGGGATGCGCAAAAAATGAAACAGGAAAGATTTTTGGGACGGATGGAGTATATGAGCAACGTACACCAAAAGTATACTCCATTTATACACCACCCTCTTCTTCACCAGTCATTTTTAATTAATTTGTACTCCCTCCGTACCAGAGTATTCGTCCAGTTTTGACTTTTGGAACTGTTCATCTAAGCACTTTGACTCATCAAATTCTCTCAATGTGTAAGCCTAAATATAGTCATGTGTGATCTTGTTTGATTTCTTTTAACATATAGATTATTAATATATAATTTCTATAATTTTTTAGTATACAAATTACAAGATAAAATGGATTAAAGAAGTGTATTGGATGATGTGTAAAAATGAAAGTGGACAAATACTCTGGGACGGATGTAATATTTATTTATTTATGAATTTCTTGCCCAATTATGTCGACAAAGAGGGGGTGGGGGACCCCTAGCATTTTTCATTGTATATTCCCTCTGTCCCATTGATTGTAATTTTGTTCTCTTCTAAAATAAAATAATTTTCACCTTTTCTTGTGTAGAATTTTTGACAGGGTTTTTAATATATAGTTTTTACTTTTTATAAATATGCTAATTTGTAAATAAATGATTTCAAAAAATGAGAAATTTTACTTCGTAAATCCTAATTTGTAATCAAATTTAGGACGGAGGAAGTATTAGTTAAAGCTAGGTACATCCAAGAAGTGTTCATTTTGAATCAACGTAATATTTATTTTGAAACAAAATAGTGTTATTCTGATAGTACTTCAACCGTCCCTAAAAACATGGGATGTTGTGATTTTAAGGGATTTTAAGAGAATTGTATTTTATTGTTGAGTTTCAAAAAAATATCTTTGAATGTGATGTGTAAAAATAAGATTTGATTTAATAGATAAGTTAAGAATTAGAATAGTAAAAGTAAATTTTTAATAAAAATGAGAAATATATTTTAGGATGAATAGAAAAGGAGAAAAGTTTTTATAGATGGTGAGAGTATAACATTGTGCACTCCAATTTACGTAGTACCGAGTATGTCTTAAAAGATTAATCTTACTTTGATATTTTTCATACCCATTTTCTATATCGGGTAGTCCGATGTTATGTGCCAAAATGCAACATACCCAGTGGTGGAGCCACATTGGGTCAAATGACTGCAGTTGCACCCACTGAAATTGGATAAGTTTATACATATATAGTAGTTTACCTAATATTTGGCTTAGCTGATTTGGTTCAAGACCTGGAAATCAGCCACTAGACCCTGAGTTCGAACCCCTCCCCCCTCTTGTATGATAATTTTTTGATAAACTATTCCTTTATAATTTTTTTATTTATACTTTGACCCCACTCTCCCCAATACCTGGCTCCGCCACTGAACATACCTTAACAAATCACAACTTGTGCATACGTCATGTGTCCATTATTTAAAGACTTATATTATGTCTTTCTATCTTGTAGATTATGCTTTCTATTTTCATCCGCTCTTTAGATTCTTTAACATATCTATCTTATCAAATGTAAAATGAAATATTCACAATGTCATTCGATAATCAAACTTCATAAGGCGTAATGTGAAAATCTATGAAATGAGAAAGTAACAAATTCCTTTATGGACCCACAACCATATTTTCTTTTCTTTTGCTTTGCATTTATTTACATATCCTCATTTGCGCAAGGCTAATTTCTTCTAATACTACATATGCACATCTACTTGGAATAACCGAAGTGGATTTGTGCATGATATGAATGGATTTGCACGTGATATGAATTAGATATACTATATTAGAGATGTAATATTAGAATAACCGAAGTGCATTCGTACATGATATGGATTAAGTATACTATATAAGAGATTTTGTCATAACCGAAGTGAATTTGTACATGATATGAATTAGATATACTATATTAGAGATTTTGTCATATCAATTTGAAGAAGTACGTCTCATCGAGTTCTTACTGACGAGATGTAGACCTTTTAGAATAAGATAATTTCCTTAATTAAACTATGCAAACATATTTGATATTATGCTTTATAAATTTTTCTACATTTGCTGAGTTGGTGTTGTAACAATATAATCTCTAATCATCTGCTTCTAGATGTGAATTTCTCAAAGCATAAATTTAATTTTAATTTAGGTCAAATATAATGAGATGAGGTTATTTCAAGAGGTAGCTAGCTAGTTAGGTGATAATCAAATTGGGATGGAAGATGCCATAAATAAACAAAAGAAACAATCATGTTGATTGCATGATGATGACATTATGTTGTTAAGATGAAAAATAATGCATTCTCTTTTGTAGAGTAATTAATAAAAGGGATCATACCTTTATTTGTATGGTGGCTAGACATGCAAGAAATATCACACTTAGATATTGGACGTATATATGTACATGTTGTATATGTATAGTACCCCCAAAGGATTAAAGGCAATGCTTTTGTGGTGGGATCAAATTAAATGTACTTTATTTTATGAAAAGTTTTTGCCTCCTCGCCAAACACCCCGCCCCACTTTGTCCTGCCCTATTCTTTAAGCCTCCACGCAAGTAAGTGAAGACATAGACTAAATGATGTTTGATTGAAGCTCAAAATTTCTCATGTCTGATTCCCAAAAGTAAAATGAGGCATATATATTAAAATGGAAGAATATATAGTGCATGTTTTTATGTGCTTATAAATTGGTCAAAACTGCTTATAAATAATTCTTAACTTATAAGCCAGCCGATGACATGTTTCTGTGTGCTTATAAGTCAGAAAAAATAAGTGGATATTAGGTACTTATTTTTGTGTGTTTATATGATGCACCTTGAGGTCATACCAGTTTATAAGTCAAAAATATTTATTAATAATAAGTTAATAAACACCACTACAGAAACAGTTTTAGGGTTAGGATGATGGGAGAGACTCGTGATAGAGAGCATATAAGAAAGGTTTGGGTTAATCTTAATCTAAATCAATGAATATGATTTGTGAGGACATGGTGAAGTGCGAATAATGTGCTTTTTTGAATGCTTTTTTTGTTTTAATGAAAGATGAATCACCCCTGGTCTGGTAGCGCACTATATAGGTGACCCCTCTCCTTTACTTAAACTGTGCAAATTTAAAGGTATCCCTCCAAGGAAAAAAAAAGGAAAAACACACACACAAATTATAACTATGGGTAATTAAATCTAAAATATATGAACATCTCCCCTCGCTTGAGTGGTAGAAAGTCTATTCTTCAAAATTTACGAGCAATGCACTCTGGTTTGAGCCATAGCAAAGACAGAAACATTTGCTCTTTGTACATTATTAGATTGGGAAAAATATGAATAAATACTACAATATATTATAATGAAGTTAATAACACTAAAAAAATCTAAAATGTACGGAGTATTTTACCTAGTGAAATTTGCACTAAATAGGACTAAAACATAATGACTTTCCCAATGTAGGACTTAAACTTTTATATTCCATAAATAGGACTTAATAATGACTTCGTGAGAGGAATAATGTCCAATAATGATGGATATTTACTTGTATAATGACTATTTGATAATGTCCAAAGGTCCCACATTGAGAAATAAAAACATATGGTCCTATATTGGGAAAATCATTATGTTTTAGTCATATTTAAGTAAATATCTCTTTTACATACTACCATCAACTTGGCATGAAAACTAAAAAAAATTGTTGAAAATGATGTAGGGGAAAGATTATTATAATAGCCACAGAATTGTTTCCAAAAATAGAAACCTGAACCCTTTTCTGGAATTGACGAAAAAAGAAATGTAAAACTTTTTTATGAGATTAGAGAGTATCAAAATATGATATTCAATATTTTTGTACAAAAACATGACTAAGGCCCCGTTCCTTTCAACTTATTTTTTCTTATTCTTATTAAAATCAGATCAGGTCAGATCGAATCAGATGAGATCAGATCAGGGTCAATAAGATCAGATCAGATCAGATCAGATCCCATCTGATCAGATCAGAACTTATTAAAATCAGATCTCATCAATTATTATCATTCTTATTACTATTATTATTATTATATTATTGTTGTTGTTGTTGTTGTTGTTCTTAAAAATGAAAAAGAATAAACTTTAGAAACAGGTTAAATAGAAAACTGAGAAAGTAATCCTTAATTATTAGACGTTGGAAAAATTAGTTCTAAAATACATTGACAATGTCAATCTAATTCTACTTTTAAAATATATTTTTATTGCTACTTGTAATTTGAGTTTCTAAACTTTTGATCTTTTATAAGGATGAGATATTTTAATAAAAATACCATCTCTTCTATATATTGATTATCTAAATCTAATTACTTTTTAATGTATATATAAATTAAATATTTATTCTAATGTATATCATAATTGGCGCTCATGTCATTTAAAAATGCTACAATACTATTTTTAACTCCGAAACGGTTTCTATCCTCATAACCCCTCCGTGCAAACACCCAACCCAAACTCTACCCATGTTTCACTACTATGTTACCAAGGGATAGACATAGGCGTACCGGATACTTGGGAGCGGGAACCACGTGAACGAACAGAATTCTATAAGATCATGAAATCGCTCAATATCAAATTCAGACACCAAAGATATAGATGGATATTATTATAATATTCGGCATTGTGGAAAAAATATATATTTTAGTATAATATAATAATCGTATTCATTTTAAAATATAGTTTTAATATATCTCAATCTTTTATAGCATGTATGTATTAAAAATTATATTTAATTTATGCAGAATGAATGCTCCAGCTTGACTTTGGTCAAACACTGATATTCATTTTCAGGAGTATAGGGCCTAACATCTTTGTGAATAACGTTAGAAGTTAGCGTTACATTTTGAGAAGACTATTTACGGGCACCGTTAAGCATTTTTAAAGTTAATCTGCACCGTTAAAATTTTGTCCAAAATGATACCGCTAATCGAAAACGTTATTCATAAACAGTCACGTAATATATATAAAAGACAAATTCACACATGTAAAGGATGTGTAGCTACGTAAACAAAAAGCAGCAGTTACGTACGTAAATTACGTAACAATGATAACAATAATAATGATAATCAGAACAGCAATAATGCATGCATTTATAAATGTTGTGTCTATATATATATACACACACACACACACACACACACACTTCCGTATATGATTTCTTTGTTTGTGGAGTGTGAGAAACTGATGCTTGAGGCACAGAAGACAAGGCGCACTTCCCGGAGTATTAGTATATGCTTATATATAATCGGCTGTATGTATATGTGTGCATATACATACACGTGTATGTATAGATTTGATTCTTGTTGTTCTGCATAGATTAATAATATAACTAATTCTTCTGGTTCCATCCATGGCCGGGGGACGAGGATTGGCCATGTCATCTATCCTCCTCATAGGTAACTATATTTCGTATTTTCTCCGTCACAGTGTATTTTGTACTTCTTCAGTTGTCTATGTGGGTTTTAAAGATTGTTTTTTGAGTAGGTTATTTATTTGCACTAAAACATAATGATTTCCCTAAATAATCTCATATGTGTTTTTTTCAAGTGTACAGTAGCACTTTTAGTCATTATTCAAGTAAATTATTAAGTGCTATTTAGAGAATAAAGAAATTTAAGTGCTATTTAGAGAAATGACTTAAGTTTTAGTACTATTTATTGTAAATATTTCTTTTTTTAATTGCAAAAAAATGGGGGGTGTTACTGTGCAGTGGTGGCAGGAATGGAGCGTTTCACGTTCAAGGGGGTGGCGGCGAACATGATGAGTTACCTGACGGACGTGGTGAAGATGAGCAATTCCTCCGCCGCAAAGATGGTTAACAACTGGTGCGGCCTCACCTATTTGGTGCCGCTCCTGGTGGCGCCGCTCGCCGACTCCTTCTTGGATCGCTACTCCATCATTTTGCTCTCCTCCCTCCCCTATCTTCTGGTAACCTACCTACCTCACCATCCACGGAATGTTTTGTTCGAAAAATTGACATCATTTTAAGACACTAGATACATATTGTGTGTTTCGTTTAAGAAATTGACGATTTTTTAAATGAGTATGACATATCTCGAATTAGGAAGATATCTTTTGATTGTGAAAAAATAGGGGAATAAAAAAGAAATATTTGCACTAAATAGCACTAAAATTAAGTCATTTCCATGAATAGCATTTATATTGTTTTATTCCCTAAATAGCACTTAATAATCCATGATGTCCTGTGATGACAAATATTTGCTTGAATAATGACTAAAAGTGCTACATTGGGAAGAAAAACACATATGGCGTAAATTTCTCAATAAAAAATCGTTTAATAGCTTCAGAGCCCCCTATGATATGAATTCAAATTGTTTGAAAACAGGGACTCTTCGCATTGACATCAAGGGCATTTAGATGGCCATGGAGGGCAAGAACCAACACTTCCACCGCCTCCACTCTCTTGGGATGGTCTCTTGCTTTGATCTCCCTTGGCCTCGGCGTCTACACCGCCTCCTTACAAGCCTTCGGCGCCGACCAACTCGACTACGACCACGACGACGACACCGACCAAGAAGATCCCGGCGGCGGCGAGGAGAGCTCCGACCGCCGGAGCCGGTTCTTCCAGCGGTGGTACTTCGGCATTTGCTGCGGCTGCCTACTGGGTGTCGTGGGCATGTCCTACATTCAGGACACCGTCGGCTGGGGGCTGGGATTCGCCATCCCCTCCTTCGTGATGGTGGCCTCCGTCGCTCTGTTCTTGTCCGGGACCCGGTTTTACCGGTTCAAGAAGACCGGAGTAGAGAGCAACCATCTGATTCAGGCTATCAAAGGCCGGGTTGCTTCCAGGTTGAAGAACCGCGGCGGAGATTCCTTGCCGGCAGAGAAATCTGAAGTTGTGGTTGTTGTTGAGTAAGTACACTAGTTTTCCAAAATTAAATACTCACTAGATTGACATAATTTGATTAATCACAAATTATGGAAAAAATATTATAATGTAAATTTAATAAAATTAAATTTATCTTAAAATATAGTTTTGAAATATCTAATTTTTATAATATTTAATTATTTTAAGCTATAATTAACTCACGGTCAAATTGTACCACAATTTAACTAAAAAGTCAAACTCTCACAATCTTTTAGAAACAAATGAAGTATTTGAGTTGATCCCATATAAAGTTCTTATTCATGCTACCTCCGTCCTAGAATATTTATCTTTTTGCGGTTAACCATTTTTAATATTTGACCTAAAATCAAATAAAATACTCCCTCCATCCCATAAAGTGTTACCCATTTTGACTAAAGTAGAAATTAAGGGAGGGATAATTTTGTGTTGACTTTCCAAAAATATCCTTGATGTGATGGGTAAAAGTAGGATGTGATGTGTAGATTATTAGGAAAAAGCTATGGTGTAATAGATAGGGTTTGAAAAAGTAAGGGGTAAAAGTGGTTTTTTAATATAAATGGGTAAGAGATTGTGGGACACAATTTTTTTGAAAGGTGTAAATCTTTTTGGGACGGATAGAGTATATATTGTATACTAATTCAATAAAATAATATTTTAAAAATATTCTATAAAGAAAATCTTATAAAAATATTTTTGTATCTATGTAGGTGTTTCTCTGTGCTTATAAGCAGTTTTTACCTTATAAGTCAGCTGATGACATATTTTTTGCGTGCTTATAAATTGACTTATAAGCTGTTTATAAGCCAGAAAAAAATAATTAGATCTTACCTACTTATTTTTAATTCAGTACTTTCATTTCTCCGTTCTGACTAAATTATTTACAAACTATCTCTTACCATTTATGAATATTTGCGAATGACTTATCTTTCATTTAAGTCATTTAATTTATACGAAAAAATATTTGACTTATAAGGAGGTTATAAGTTAAAATTAACTTATTAATAATAAGTCAATAAGAATCAGCACATACAAACATCTTCTATATCTAGTATCACTCTATATTACTTCAGGTTAAAATTTACAAATTTTAATTGGAAAAATAAAAAATAGACAAACACTCAGAGACATAGGGAGTATATTTTTTCATTCATCCTAAAAATTACTTTATTTTCCTCTTTTAAAAACAAATTTATTTTCCACTAAAAGGTCCAGTTTGGTATGTGTAAGTGCACGCTAATCAAATTTGTCATTGTATGTTCGGAACTTCGAATGATTGCAAAAAAACTCACTTATTTTCTTTAAGTATGTTATTTTTTTTCACATTCCTAGACAGTCAAATTTGATTGCGCACACCCTTGCTAGATTGGCTGTTAATGGGTGCTATGAATGACCTTCTGTTCCCCCAAATGATGTATTGCATTTACTTTGATGAATGAAAGTGTTTGAGTTTCAAAATTTTTTTTGTCATTGTACAGTGACATTGAATATCTGTGTATATTTGTTTTTGGTTCGGTGTACACCAAGTGTATATATACAAGGGAGTTCTCCAAGTATTTTTCTCAAAAAAATGATCTCTTTAATTTCATTCCATCATTAAATACTAAAATATTCTCTGTGCAAAATCTCGGATCCACAGGCTTCACGAACAGATTTCGAGCCCACTGTACGACGAAGATTCAAACGGCGGCAAGAAACAGAACGACGACATGAATCCGTTAGACCTTGTGAAACTGGTGATACGCCTACTGCCGACGTGGATGACGCTGCTGATGTTCGCCGTCATCTTTCAGCAGCCGGCTACGTTTTTCACCCGACAAGGAATGACGATGGAGAGAAACATCATAGGCACAAAGATCAAAGTCCCTCCGGCCGCCCTCCAGAGTGCCATCGCCGTCTCTGTGATCCTCCTAATGCCGCTCTACCACAAGGCCTTTATACCCTCCATCCGTGCCTTCACCCGCAACGAGAAGGGCGTCACCGTGAGGCAGCGGATGGGGATCGGCATGTTCCTCTCCGTTGTCGCCATGGTTGTCGCTGCAGTGACAGAGAGGAGGAGGCTCTGCGTGAGCAACAGGCAGACAGAAGATGTTCACGGGGACAACGTGGTCCCAATGAGCATCTTCTGGCTGCTTCCCCAGTATATCCTCTTGGGAGTTTCCGACATCTTCACGGTGGTGGGAATGCAGGAGTTCTTCTACTCTGCGGTGCCGGAGAACATGAGGACCTTCGGGGTGGCTCTCAACACAAGTGTCTTTGGCGTGGGAAACTTTCTCGGGTCGGCGTTGATAGCGGCAATAGAGCACTTGACGGGTTCGAGATCGGCCGGAGAACGCCGCAGTTGGTTTTCTAACGATTTGAGAGAAGCGCGTTTGGACTATTACTACTGGTTTTTGGCGTCTTCAAGCGGTATCAGCTTGGCAGCCTTTATTCTCTTTTGTAAACTTGTGAGGGTAAGATAGATCAAACAAATGTATACTATGATCTTAAATTTTTGGGTGATGTTATATCACGCTACAATAACATCGACTGATAGACTAATGCTCTATTTGATCTGATAGGATCTTGTCTGATTTTTTTTAAGACGTTGATCTATTAAATCTCATTTGATTTATCTGATCTAATTGAATCTGATCTGATGTAATTATGTTTGATCTTCTGATTCGATCTGATCAGATCTAATGTGATTGGATCTGATTTTATTAAATTTTAGTACAATGTAATTTGAAAGGATCCAATTTCGCTCTTCTTTCTCTCCACTAGGAAGCGTTCTCCACCACATGCACCCCCTCTCGTTGCCGCCACTAACTGAGGTGGTCCGCAATGGCAAATGTGGCTTGTTTGGCTTGTGGCATGTCGCTAGCATTGCTCCATGATTGCCAAGGCACTTGCGAGGCGTCCCTTCAGGGTATCATCAATTCTCTGTTAAGAACTTCGAGTTCCCATATTATTCAAGGTAAAATTTAATACTCCCTCCGTCCCTAAATAAAGTTTCTTTTTCGTTTTTTCTTTGTCACTAAATAAATTTCTTTTTTCCTTAAAAAACCCTTTTTACCCCTTACTTTTTCATACCTTACCTATCACATCATACCATTTTACTAATAATCTACCTATCACATCATACCATTTTACTAATAATCTACCTATCACATCTTACTTTAACACATCATATCAAAGGTATTTTTGGAAAGTCAACACCAAAATATCTCTCCCTTAAATCCTTAAAAAGTCAAAAATGGAATTTTATTTAGGGACGGAGGGAGTATTTGTCAAAGTGACTATCGGAGTACATAATGATGGGTGTATTTCACCCAAGACCGGTCAAAGGAGAAGGCCAAATCTTTGACCGGTCAATCTCGAAAGTTTGGAAGGGAGACTTAAATCGTCAGCAAAACGATATATCATCGGCCAAAATTTGACCGGTACACTACACAAAAAAGTATACCGGTCAAACTACGTTATCATCCTATTTATTCCAGACTTCGATGAATTCACCCTTCGGAGATTACCCGGTGTAGTTTCTGAGGTTGGAAAGTGTCGGCAGAAGAGGATCTGCGAGGGCTTGGCGTGTAGCGACCCGTGTTAGTAGAGGACAACTGGAGATACTGAAGAATCCATCCAAGGCGCTACTCGACAAAGGGAATGATCCCCCTCACAAGGCGACAAGGGAGCTCGAGGACGAAACCAGTCACCTCGCACCACATCAGCAGCATGCCCCCACGTGGGCGCACGCGGTCCTGTCCCCTTAGCCTAGTATAAATACTCATGTAAACCTCAGAAAGAGGGATCCGAATTCATTTTCTCTAAACTCCCTTGTAAAAGCACCCGTGCATTCTCCGTTATAATACAAATTGGGCTACAGGTGTTCCACCTAAAGTCCTACTGGTCAATCTGCGTGTTTTTACCTTTCTTACTTTGCCCAATCGAACAAACTATTCTAGACCCGGTCTAGTATAGTTTGACCGGTCAAGTAATTTACACCATCACATAACAACAAATTTTAAGAACTTTCAGAGTGTATTTCTTATAATGTACAAGATTACTACTATCAATATTATATTCTCACATTTCAATGTCAAGTTATCGACACAATTCTCAATCAATGTTGCTTAGGGCACTTTACTTCTTTTTATTCATATTTTTTCAATCAGTGTCACCTAAAGTACATTATTTTAATATTTATTGCATTTCAACTTTTATAAAAAAAAAGTGTTCTAATTTTTTGTTAGTAATTTTTGGTATAGTAGACCCACTTCCTTCTTCGCCCCGAGCCTGAGAAATCTTAGAAACAAACGTGGGTAGGGATGGCAATTCAACCCGAACCCGAGCTTAACCGACCCGACCGACCACTAAAAAATCTGAACCCGAACCGAGAATAAAATAATCCGAACCTGACCCGATTTTTTTTACCCGAACCCGACATCGGGTCGGGTCGGGTGTGGGTTTATTATTTTACCCGACCCGACCCGAACCCGCACCCGACCCGACTCAAACCCGAATATTTTATAACTTAAAAGCCTATCTATGGATATAATGAGCATTCCGTATAATCTCTTGACAAAGTGCTACTATACCAAATATGCCTTTTATAATCATTTTTTATAATTTCTTAATAAAAAAATGAGACACAAAAAAAATTAGATGTAATCTTTTTAAAATTATTGGGGTACACCGAATTGATTATTAGTTAAAAGTCGGGTTCGGGTCGGGTTCGGGTTTCTGGTTGGAATCTCGGGTTTCGGGTTGGGTTCGGGTTTCGGTTTTTAAAGTCGGGTCGGGTTCGGGTATAGTACTATCCGACCCGTTGCCATCCCTAAACGTGGGTGAGATTTTAACTATGACTTCGTGGTCGCCATAGCTCAGCTATGCACTCTGCCAACCGTGCAATGGCATGTTGGTTTTTATTCTTTGTTAGGAAAGACACTATTTTTCCATTAAAAAAAATGTATTCACAATTCTTAATACTCCGTATTTTCTTTAAAAAAAAACAATCCCTCCGTCCCATTATATAACGCTTATTTCGGTTTACGATGTTTGACTGAAATTATTTTCAAGTCATTTTATATGACAAATGGTACATAGTTAAAAAAGATAAAAATTACATATTAAAATACCACTTCAAAAGATCTACAAAACTAGTAGTGACAATAGTATTTTTTTATCAAATTTCTAACGAAAATTGTGAAAGAAAGTGAATGAAGTTTGACTATGTAAATAACATGCATTATAATTTGAGACGAAGCGAGTAATTAGTAATATTTTAAAACTTTTTTTTGGGTCGTATAACAGTATTTAGCTTAATAGGCCGTTTAACAGATACGGCCCAACTTCACATTTTTACCATTTTAACAATTCCACTCTAAGCCCAATAGCTCTTCTTCTACAATAACTCCACCTTCAAACATCCATCCCGTAAATCCCAAAAGCTTTCTGCTTTGGATAATCAACAATTCACAGCGCTCTTCCGTTAGATCCGATCAGAGGTATTTGATTTTCTTCGCTCCCATCTCCGCTCTTTAACTTCGAGTCTGATTATAAATCTCTGAAGAAAAGTATGCTTTTGATTCAATTATCCGGATGTGATTACAAGATTTTGTTTTGATTTTTCTCTTGAGAATTCTTAGATCTATGGTTAATGTTCCATAGATCCATGATTTACTTCTCTTCAGATCTCCCAGATCGATTTTTTCTAAGATGTGTGTGGAAAATAATGCTCTACAGATCTTATGTATTTTGCGTTTTATACTCCGTACATTTGTTATCTGTAACAGACTGGTTCCGCTGTCTTTTCTCTGTTTATATTTTGTGTTTTTTGTCAGTTTTTTAATCTAAACTGTATGTATGTCAATTTTTTTACTCTCATCACATTATGATATCTGCATTTCAGTTTTTTTTGTTTGTTTTTTTAAGTGATTGTTGTTCTGGGGATATAAAATTTTATGCAGACATGCTGGATTGTGTTTTTGTTAGCTTCCTTCAGTCAGGTGTTTATCGAAAATAGGCAAAACAAATTGAGAGATAAGCATGCCCAATTTGAGGTTAAATTGTCACTTTGTTGCCAACATTTGTGCATTACAATTCTTTGATATGAATGTGTATGGTAATTGGTTAATGGATGATGAAGCATTCAGTCCTCTCCATTGGAACTATTTTGAGAATATTTTTCACTTTCTTTGGTGTAAATGTGATTATGTTTCTTTGCTCTCTTGGAAATGTTTTTTTTCCTTTTTCTGGTTAGAATTCATCTCATCCCATTGTAAGATGGTAATTAAGTCCGTTAGGAAACAAGTTTCTTCTCAGCTGCTGTTTTGAAGTTATCTTAGTTATTGTGATGATATGATCATTGTGTTATTTTATCAATAACTCAGAAAATAATGGCCATCATAGTAGAAAGTATATGATACAATTTGTACTTTTATTATAGAAAATACAGTTACAAGGGGAGAGGGTGGACAATAGTGGCAACAAGGAAAGATGGTTGCACTGAAGATTGAAACGGGTCACAATGACGTAGTTCACGACGTATCCATGGATTACTATGGGAAACGGGTCGCAACAGCTTCGTCTGATGCCACCGTCAAAATAATTGGTGTGAGCAACAACTCCACCTCTCAACACCTCGCCACTCTTAGTGGCCATCACGGTCCTGTCTGGCAGGTTTCCTGGGCCCACCCAAAATTCGGTTCAATCCTTGCTTCCTGTTCCTATGATGGTAAGGTCATTATATGGAAGGAAGGCAGTCAGAATGAGTGGACACAAGCCCACATTTTCAGCGATCACAAATCCTCTGTCAATTCCATCTCGTGGGCCCCTCACGAACTCGGGCTTTGTTTGGCGTGCGGGTCCTCCGATGGGAACATCTCAGTTTACACTGCGAGGTCAGATGGCGGTTGGGACACCGCAAGGATAGATCGTGCCCACCCAGTTGGAGTGACCTCAGTTTCGTGGGCCCCCTCAATGGCCCCCGGTGCTTTAGTGGGATCCGGCATACTCGATCCCGTCCAGAAGCTCGCCTCCGGCGGCTGTGATAACACCGTAAAGGTTTGGAAGCTCTACAATGGTGTTTGGAAGATGGATTGCTTCCCCGCCCTTCAAATGCACGATAATTGGGTGAGGGACGTCGCGTGGGCCCCCAATTTGGGGCTCCCGAAGTCAACTATTGCAAGTGCTTCAGAGGATGGTAAGGTTGTGATATGGACCGCGGCGAAAGAGGGAGACCCATGGGAGGGAAAGGTTCTCAACGACTTCCAGACCCCCGTTTGGAGGGTATCGTGGTCATTGACCGGTAACCTCTTGGCCGTTGCGTCTGGCGATAACAGCGTGACATTGTGGAACGAAGCTGTCGACGGAGAGTGGCAAAAGGTCACAACTGGTGACCAATAAGATTTTTTCTGTTGCTTTTGATTAATGTCTATGTTTTAAGACGTTTTTCACTGGATTTGAGTTTCACAATTGCTTTGTTTAAAACCTGCCCTTTTTTTTCTTGTCATGTTGTGAAGAAAATTGGATGTATTTCATACTCTTTGCCTCTGGTTTAT